AGACTCTAATGATTTCCGCTAGTTTCCGTTTCGTTGTCATTGTCCACGTCTCCATTGGCGTATGCACAAGGAATCCAAGACCCCCTCACACTTCCCGCCTCCCCCCTCCATTTCCCTCTGCCAAATTAAGGTTTTTCCCCCTTATTGTTGGACATGCAACGACCTTCTGCCTTCGCTGGTTCGTGCTGTTATTGTTATTATTGTTGCGTGTTGGTGCGTTGGCTGTTTGGCTGTGCTTTTGTTGTTGTTATTGTCGTTTTCGTTGCTTTTCTTGATAAAGAAATTATTGTAATCTGGCTTGAGTTTGAGCTCTGCTGGGTGACCCTGTCGCGCACTCAGGGAACTTAATCAAATTGTATGGCTAATGGAAATGAAGCGGTTATCCACAAATACCATATATATATATACTCAGAGATATGTATATATGCGTAGCTATATACACATACAAGCCGGCGGCAATTGCTGTTAATGAAATTGTCTGGCAAAATGCGTTCCACGACGGCGCGAATCGTGTGAGTTGCTGCCAATGGCATTATATATAATTGCTTATAATTCAGCCAATTTACAGTTCATAAAGCCAAAGACAAAATGTTAGCCCAACAAATTCAATATGAAGGCTGAAACGCAAGGTTTGCATGAGCGGGAAAGTTTTATGCAAATACGAGGTGGCCAAAATGGGAAAATACCCTGTAATTAGTCTAGGAATACTAACTCAGAGTAGTGACAGTTAATCCAATAATAGATCGTAGATACGAATTAAATAAATATTAATCCTAAAGCTAATTGGTTATTGATTAAATCACCTATCTAAGTACAGATGGTAATCACAAGTGTTTCCCCGGAATGTCAGCTATTTCATGGCATGTAATTGGGTTTTCTATCAAGCATTAAATGGTATATATTCCCCCGACTTTAATCATGGCAAATTGCTCTTGGGTTAAGCCCCCTTTTTCCACATAGAGGGACCCGACCAAATGATCTATTAGATTCAGTTAGTAAGTGATTTATTGCCCATACCAATCATAACGCTTGGGTTTATGGTTAGATACACTTTGATTGTGGCAAGGGATATATATTAGGTAGTACAACGAAACAAGACCTGTCACATGCAACACGTGAATTACCGTCGCAACAATGACAACAAAGGCCAAGCAACAAACAAACAGACAAACAAACGGCAAACGACAACAATCAAACTCGTTTTGAGCGTTTCCCATAATCAAAAGGCAACGACGACGCCGTGTGAATTTTATTTTTCGGTTACAAACGAGTTCCGTCTTGAGAGTTTGCAATTGCAAATGCACTAAAAAGGTGGTTTTCGAAAATGTTAGAAAAGTAATTTAAGCTTATAAAATAAGAATTAGAAGATCTTAGATCTTAGTTAGCTAAGATAAAATCCTAAAAAATATGCAATAAATTCATAAAATAGTTTGTTTTTCTTAGTGCAATGAGCTGTTGCTGTTGTAACTATTGTAGCAGTTGTTGTTTGCACAATATTTCACGCATACGTGCTTCTTTATGGCAGCAAGAGTGGGTGGTTGGGCGTCTGGGCGTTTCGGTGGGTGGGTGGCGAAATGCGCTCTGCCGTAAAATTGCGCGCAATTGGGTTTTTTGTTTGCTACTCGCAGCAGAGTGGCAGAGTGGCAGAGCGAGTATGTTGGCTTAACGACAACAAACTGAAACACTTTTGGGCTGAACGCTGTGTTCTGGATTGTGTTCAGCATAGCAGAAAATTATGAGTTAATGGATTTTGTTTAATAATTTTTTTGTTGTTGTTGATTTTTTTGTTTCACATTTGTATTGTTTGCTGCATTATTACGATTTGCAACAAGCCGAAAAGTGTTGACAAGCACATGTTTGTCCCTGCCATTGCCGAAGCATGAGTGTTGTCAACGCAAAAAGCATTCGTACAGCAATGACACGCTCGTTGGGCAAATGCCTCAACGCCCACCCTCCTGGTAACTCGGCAATTTGTGGCAAAAATCAAGTTCAATGTTGCAGCGAAAGTTTCTGAAGAAGAGAAAAAAAGAGGTAAGAGAGAGGGGGCAATGCTGACTGACAGCCAGATTCGCTCCTTGGCTGCATAATCAATGTAATTAAATGCGGAAATTGTTTGGCGCAGTGCAAAACTGATTTGGGGCTTGACGTAAACGCTTCCATTGAAGCCCCATCAACAGACCCGGCCCCCAAAAACCACTCAGCCCTCTCCTACCCCCTTCTACTTTAGCTGCATCTCCCCAATCTCAAATCTCCAGTGTTGAACTGGAAACCGGCGACGTTGTCATTAGGCGAGCCAACGAGTTTAGATTGGGGCTATGCAACCAGGCAAATGCGCTTTAAAATGTGGAAAAAATGTTAAAATGAAGTTTATTTTGCTAAAGTTAGAAATTTCCAATGCTTTTCAGGGAAAATATTAAAGAAAGTTCGAATAAGAGGAAACGGGAATTATATTTTACTTTGTTTTCAGCACTTTTTGTGCTTAATTTCGATTTAATTTGCTTGAGTAAGCCTTGAATTAATGAAATTGATATATTAAAACCTAAATTAAACTTTCAACTACTGCAAAATCAAAAAATAAAACCAAGAATCCAAAGAAATAAAATCTCATGTCAAACAAAATGAAATAAAATTTTAATTACTCATGGATAAGAAAGAATAAATAAGAGAAAATAAATTCCAGCGAGGAAAGCAAAGAAAATTCCCAGAAAAAATGTAATTCAAAAGATAGAAAAGTTTGGCAGAAAACAGGGTATGCCGAAGAGCATAAGGGACTTCTGGCGAAGCTCATCAGTTATTTAGGGACAGGAACTGGGAAAGTGGAAAAGTGGAAAAGTGTCTGCCATTCGCAAATACACGCAACGGGAATGTGCAATTATTTAGCGTAATTGCTTTCAATACACCAAAATGTTCAACCACATAATTAGAAAATTACAAATTGAATGCTAGAAAATCAGTTTGAAAATCAAAGAGAGAGACAGAGAGAGAGAGATGGTGGAAAAACGTGAAAAAGTAGATTAAACTTAAATTTGATATTATCACTTAGAATTAGAGCAATTTATCTTTATGTTTTTCATGGAAAATTCTGAATTCCTTTTTCCAATATAAAACAAAACCAAAACCAAAACGGCGAAGCCAATGCAAATCCTATTAAACGAGTCACTGCCCAATAATGAAATTAAATTTCGAACAATGGCCGGAGATGTATTTATAAATACATATATTTTATACCACACTAATATTAATATGTGAATTAATTATTTTGCACAAAGATCCGGCTTATGCTGCGTTTTTGGGGCTGATTTCTATGGGAGTTTTTCAAATATTTATGTGATTAATTTGCTCATTTGCCATGCATTCACAGCTTGGTGCTGGCCATATTTTTATCTCAATATTTACCTGATGGTTTCCTTTTTTTTTTTGTTTTATAAATTTGTTTTTATTTTTTTTTTCCAGCCTGCTGCTTTGCGGTTTGATATTGTAAAATAATTTATTTAAATTGAATTTCTTTGCGGTTGATTTGTGGGCAAGTCCAGCTCAATAGAACGAATAAATGCGAGTTTTATTTATAGAGAAATGTAGCGAGCAAAGTGGGTCAGTTGGTAATGTCCTCAAACCAAGTTGCAATTTGGTTTATGGCCTTAAAGACTTGAGAACTGGAGAGGTTTTTCTTTTTGATCAACTCAATGGCTACTTGAAAGGACTTCTTCTGACATTTAATAAGTTTCCCTAGTTATTTGTGTCCCCCTTTGAGTCTAGATTTAGCCAGCCTTTATTTATTTTTCCAGCCAGTGGAAAAGCGAAATTGCATATTTGCTTTTATTATAATAAATGCCAATTTAGCCGACTGCAATTCAATTACGTGAGCACCGTGAAAATTTCCCTTTTCGTTTGTTGTTTGTTGTTGGTTGTTTTTCTGGCTTTTCCTACTGGCGTTGCTTTGTGAGTTTTCCCATTGCAAAACGTGCGGCACTCGAGAGACTGCGGCCTGGGCCTCATAATCTCTGGAAAACGTGAGTTTCGGCCTGGCCAACTAAATGCTGGCTAGCCGAATGGCTGACTGGATAGCTCTTTTTAGCCCTCTAAGCCATAATATTTTACTTTTGTAGATGCACTCGAAAAAGTTGGATATTAATTAAAGAAATTTAAAGATATAAAATCTAAGTTAAAATGGAAATTTTCAAGAATTTATAATTTTGGGAGAAGTAATCATAATAACTTCTTCTTAAGGAGGCCTTCCACACTTTTCTTTTAAGGCAACCTATACCTTTTCCTAAAGATTGCTAACTTTGTAATGAAAACTACCATTCTTAAGTGTAGAAAATGAAAATGCAAGGAAAAAAGTACATGTAATGCTTGGGATGATGGCCGAGGCAATCATGACAACGACGATGCAACAGTTGAGTGAATTGGATAATTGCGTATAATTTTAATGGATCGAAGTGCAATCGATGTCTGGAAGGGATGGCCATACTTGCTTTTCCTCTTAAAACGCGATATGTGGGTGTGGGTGGCTTATTATTGTGCCCGTCAGCTGCAACGTCATCGTATCGTTTTCGTATCTCTGAAGCCGAAACCACCGAATGCTTTTGTTTTCGCCTACAACCTTTATGCATTATCTGTTGGTGCCTTTGGGGGCATGCCACGTCATGGTGGCAGATGATACAATCAATGGGTTGGGTCCCGTTCTCTCTTTCCCCCTCTGCCCACCCCCAAACTAATAATGATGATCCACAAGGACTTTGATTTCACGTCTTTGGAAAGCTGAATTTAATTGGAATTCGGTTCGATGCTCGCACGCACTGTTGTCTTTCAATCTAATTCGAATCTAATGGCTTGTTGTCTTCGGTTAACATTTCATCATCATTTACTGCTCTCCCTCAGCATTGATTATGCAAACTGATTCGATTTCCATTTTGCCCCATTTGATGTTGCTGTACTAATATAAATGCTCGTTTATCAATTCCGAATGCTAATCAAAATGTTTCATCCTTATTTTACAGTTGATGAATGTGCAAGGAGTCCCACGGCGGATTGCCATTTGAGTTGGGTAAGTTCTTGTTATTAGTTCATTGTTTGGCATTGTTGAAATTGTTACGCCTCTCTCTATCTCTCTCTCTATCTAAAACACACGGGCACGTGTCAAGTTTCTGTCAGTATGTCACTCTGTCACTCTGCCAGTCAGTCAGTCAGTCAGTCAGTTATTTTGTCATTATGTCACTTTGTCGCCCTGGTCAAGCGCAGACGCTGCGTGGGATTAGGATTTGCTTTCTCCACTGGATTGGCCAATGTCCAGTGGTGTGTCCTGTCATCGGCATGCAAATGTCGCCTCGGCTCGGTGACATTTGCATTTGCAACGCCCGCAATTAAATGGGCGGCGTCGGTGGTGTTGGCCGTGGTGGCAATAGCAATGCGTCATGCCAAAGTGTTGCGTGCTGCATTTTAAATGAATATTTTATGCCAACTTTCCGGCTCACTCCCGCGCGCCTTAAATTATGCAATGCAATGCAGTGCAATGCAAAGGCCCAATGCGTGTCGCATTTTAATGGCTCCACGTTGAGAGTCGAAAGACGACGTCGACGACGACGACGACGAGTTCTCGACGGGATTACGAATGGAAATAAAACTTAAAAATTGTCGCTAGTGGATTTTTATGGCCCACATGTAGTGGAATACATTTTCGAATATTTATAGCTGCCACCCTCGTTGGGGAAGCAATGCGTCTAGACGGCAGTGCGTTAAATCGGAAATGGAAAAGTTTTAGGTGAAATTTATACCCTGTAATAAATGTTTGATTAGAAAATGTGTGGTAATAGGTGGTATTATTAAGAAAAGTGAGTTTTTAAGTACCTCCTAGTGTAAAGTCAAGGCCTAGAAAGGCTTTCAGTGAACAAAACTTTCCTTTAATTTTCCAACTTAGCCAGAACTTAAAGTTCTAAGACAACCTTTACTTATGGCTGTTCTCTGATAATCACTTAAAGACTTAAACACTTACAAAATGCTAACTAAAGTGTGTACTAAACTACCCTTTCTAACCACGCATGCAGGGTATAAAACACACAAAAAAATATAGCTCGACCAGGAGCGAGAGAAAGATAGACAGCCAACAGGCAAATGCACTTTTCCCGGAATGTGTCAAGTGCGGAGAGCATAAGATGACTCGCATTGAGTTGCCCGGACGGATATATAGACGAATAGATAGATAGATAGATAGATAGAAAGATAGATATATGGACAGATAGCTGTAGAGACTTAGCTGCATGCCAGACATTCATCTCAATTTATCGTGCTTAGCCGCATATTCCGGCAGATCGAAGTGTCGTCTGCGTATATATCAAAGTCTCAGCCAGTTCTCGCAGGACTCGCATGGCAGGAGCATAGTTGTTGCATACATGTAAGTGAGGGAGTCTATATATATATATATATGTATATACATGTGTATGTGCAAGTGCGTGAGTATACGTGAGCTGCAGTTGTCATTCCAAGCCGTATCCTTCTTCGCATCCATTCCCTATTCCTAACCCGTTTCTCTTTGGCAAACAAGTAATTTCACTTGACATGCAATTTTTTGTGGGCTTCCCCCACTCCTCAATCCTCGTCCTGAGTCCTTTTCCACGTCCTCTTTTTACCTCCTGCTCAGGACAAACAAAACAGATGTAACGCTGCATCGGATAGGAATCTCCTCCTTTCGCCATCTTCTCGTGTGTGTTTTGAGTCCCCAACCACTTTTGATTATTTTGGCTGAAAAACCACATACACACAAGTTGCTAGAGAGGAGGGAAAAAAATGGAAAGTATTCCTGAAAAATGTCAATGCCAAGGAGCGAGTAAAAAGAGATACGATGCGGGAAGGCAAGCTACGGGGAAAACGATTTTCCCAGGGCAGCTGGAGAACTTCCCCATGGACACAGCCTGGCACAGAATTCAAAATGCATTTTTGGTAGCATTCATCATTAAAGCAGCCTTTGGCATATGACATATGGCCAGGCCAAAAAGGATAAGACTTGATTAAAATAGATTCAAATTTTTGTGGGATTAATACCAAAGGACGCTTTAAGTTGAAATGAAAAGCCATTTTCCGTTGACTTGAACGTAAATGGATGTCGATGAGTGGAGGATGAAAAATTTCGCTTTTCTAAAATTCATTATTTATTTGCCCCACAAACGCGCACATTTTCCGAGATCAAGTTTCAGCAGTGACATTGCTGATCCGTCGTGTTTGTCTTTTGCTGAGCGTAAATAGGAAAATATGCAGCCAACATAGTCGAAAATTGTTTGAAAGCTATACTTCCACGCATTTCCATCTGTGACTGCTGTTGGTATTTGGTAAACACGGAATATCTGTGCTCCAAGATATTGCCGGATTTTTTTTTTTTGAATTTTTTTTCGTTGTACTTCTTCTTTCTCAGTTGCCACTCAGCTGGAAGAAGTGCCGGAGGAGAGCTTTCGTTTTTGGGCTTAGTTTTCCCACCCAGAGTTTTTCCGGAAAATATACCAACCCAACCCCCTTCCGTCAGTCACCTCCCCAAACCAACCAACCGACATCAGCACTTAAACGCTTCACACATGCTGTCCGTTTCTCTTTGGATTCGAAACGATTTTTTCTGCCTCTTTGCTTCTGTTGTTGTCGTTGCCATTGCTGCTGTGTTTTTCCGGAATTATCCGCTTATGCTAATCTGTCTAACGTTTTTGAAATTTTCATGCTCTCTCTCTCTCTCTCTCTTACACTCAATCTGTGTGGGGTTTCCTGCACTTCAGACACACACAGCCATACACAAGCAGACCCACACTACTATATAGACTCATCCAGCTTTTGAGAAAACCCGCCGTAAGGAAAAGCGAGGAAAAATCGGCAGAGCAAACGCTGCTCGCACATTCACTTGATGACCCACTCGGCTGTAGGAGTGGGAAAAGTCTCCTAGTTGGCCTCCTCGAGTCCGCCTCATTCAATGTCACTTGCCTCGAGGACGAGTGTAAGTAGCACTCCACAAATGTTTTCATCCGATTATGAAAGGGCGCCGAGTTGACCGAGCATTGTCCTCCTCTAACCGCCTCCCCCTTCAGAGTTTGGTTTTTACTTGAGTTTCCATTGAGTTGAGTTGCGTTGATGGCTTAAATTATTGTTGGTTTGGCACTATCCGTAAGATAACAATTGTTCTGCTGTTTTGCCCCCACTATGTTCGATTCTACTAACCCCGAAAGAAAAGTTTGCCTTTGCTTGTGCATGAACATGAAATTGGGCAAAGAGCTCTTTCCATTTACAATTACCGCGTCTCTCCATCAAAACCAGGTTAAGTCGGGCGGCAGCGAAGTGGATTTAAGGCAGCGGAATGCCAGCATCCGGAATCTATTTTCGCCCAGCCCAGCTGAGTTGGCCAAAAAGAAGGAGGAAGCACGTCAAAGAAGAAGCCGCAGCCAAAGCAGCTTCTCGCTCCAGAGGATTGGCAATGGGTATGATGAGGGGATTGGTAACAAGATGGGCCTGCCCAGTTCCAATAGCTTCGATGATTACGCTCTGGGCATAAATCAATTGCCAATGACTGCGAATCAATCGGCAGTGAGACAATACAATGGCCATGGCCATAACGAGCTGGGACCCAATCCCTATGCCCAGGCACCCGTTACCGTAATTCCCAGGACATCGGACAATGGCTGGCATCAGAGTGCATTTGAATTGGCAATGAGCCGGACTCCGGCGGAGCACAAAAACTGGAAGTCGACGAGCCAGCTGGAAAATTTTATTAACAGCACGGAACAGCTGCAGCAGCAATGGCAGCAGCAGCAGCAGCAGCAGGAACAGGACCAAGACCAGGACACTTGTGTTGACTTTGGTAATGAAATGACCTGGGGCAAATCTGCTGAGAAATCGCTGCCATTGAATCACCTGCTGCAAGGAGATGGAGGATTTTCCCGAGACGACCAATGGGATTTGGAATTTCAGCAGCAGGAGCAGCGCGAAAGTTTGCACAGCCAAAGGTAAATTGACAAAGGGCCAAAAGCACAGAGAGAGAGAGAAAGTGGGCCAAAAGGAAAAGCCAGAGAATCCACTAACCCAAACTGCGTTTAGCTTTTCTATTTTCCACTTTTCCAAACCCCTGCACCCGCAATTTGCTGAAGTTTAGCGGATACTTCAGATGACTAGATGGCTGGATGGATAGAGTCGGGAGTTTGGGAAGGAATCGGAGGGAGTACCATGTAAATGAGCCAAACGTGTAAGCCAAACTAACCTTGACACCCTCGTCGATGACTCTTTGGCTGGAACCGTTTTTGGCCACCATTTGCATATCGAATGGCATCGCGATTGATTGCCCCTTCGATGGGGTCGATAAGGGCGTGCAATGGCAACAGTTGTAAGCAGCTCAAGTGCAAACCGCTCTAATAGTGTGGCAACAAATCGATCAATAAGTCGGGGTCTTTTGTCGAATCAGCAGCAATCGGCATTGGCATCGGACGCGGTATCGAATCCCCCTGTCCAGCGGAATTCTCGATTGCCATCGATGCGTGGCCAGGTCACGCGGGGCAACAAGGTGGATGCACTGAGCGTGTCAATTCAAGCTGTTGCACAATCGCCGATTTGATTCGAAACGAGCTGAGTTTCAAGCGGGTTACGCATTGCATTTGTTAACAACAAAATAACAGGGGGTTTGTGTTAAGCGGCGGAGGAGAAGGAGGAGGAGTGGGAAGTAGGAGTGCAATCATGCATCGCAAAAAGAGGGGGTAAGGGGGTCCTATACAGCCACGATTCAAGTGCGCCACAAACTATATTATATCAAGTACTGAATGCAGTTCGTTGACCGGCGAGGGCTAATTGAGAGCTGGAGAAAGGTAGCGGAAAGGCATTTGTCAAGTTTGATTGAAAGGGAGTTTGATTTATTGGCCATCGCGATGGATGGCTAACCGGTTACGATAACCCAGTTTCAGTCAGGGTTATACAATTTGGATTAGGAATGATTTTGGGGTCAGTGATTGCAGGGTTTTAATGGGATTTCCATGTTGGTTTATAGAAATTTCTTGACAAAGCCGGCTATTAGGTTCTATATAGTACTTTTCTTTGTTGAGTTAACCATTAATTTTTCTCATGAGATCATTTTCAAGTTGAATATTAATTTATCCCCCTACCCCTCTCTCATCTTGTGATCTTGCGCTCTAAATTATTTTGCACTTTATTGCCCCCAAGCTCATTTGAGTACATCTCGCCTCATTTCGCTTTCTTTACAATTACTTTTTTGTATTTTTTTTTATGTCTGATTAATAAAAACAAAGCGCAAATTGGAAAGGAAATTGCTGTCACTCACTGGCGCTGTTGTTGCTGCTGTCAGCAATTGCATTAAAACGATGCCGTTGATGTTGCTGTTGCTATTGCTCTTAGTTGACTCCACAGCCAGAGCCAGAGCACAGAGCCAGAGCACTGAGCCCAGAGCCCAGACCCTCGACGATGCGGCATTTAAATACACCGCATGAGTTTAATTTAATGCAACGCAGCAGTTTTATCAAGCAACAACAAAATGCGACGACAGCAATTGCTGTTAACTGCGTTCGCCCTTCTTGCCATGTCACTGCCAGCCATAGCTCTTATCGCCCTCACCTCGTCTGATAGGGAAAGCTCGTGTGTATGTTTGACGCTTTTCCAGCCCATCAACCCACTCTGCCGCCCGCCCTTTGGATTACGTATGTGCTTTGCATTTGACTGCCCATTGATGTTGCCAACGCGTCGTCGGTGATGGCGAGAGATGCCATTGTGTGTTGCCAGCCGAGCCAAGTCTCTCTTTAGTCGAGTTCCTTGTACACTTGTATACTTTATGTATCCAACACCCACCCACCAACACCCCTTACACCCACCCATCTGGCCTTAAACCCTCACTCGGCCACGCCCACTGTGACACCACGCCCATCCTGCGACTGTCAAATCATCTCGTCATGGATATGAGCAATTGCCAGGGTTTCATCCTGCAGAAAACAGAGAGAGAGAGAGAGTGAGGGGGACCTGCATAGAAAATTGGCATGATATGTGATTTGATTGACATGGCATAGCCGATCCACCTCATGCAGCTCCTTTCTCAGACATTTTCGGCCGCCCTTTGTTTGCCAATTTAGTGCCGCCTCTGTCATTTTATTCCTATCAGGCTCCGCTTGTAATCAGCATTTTTGCCTACGCTTTTGACGTTTAATTTGTGAGCCGAGTTACGTCAGCAACATATCGGTAAGCCCGTCAATCAAAGGGTTTCGCATTCAATTTGCAGCTTATAAATAAGTGCACTCCGGGAAAATGTTTAGTTTTAAATATGTAAAAGAATTATTTTCGATAACGTCTAGGGTTATAATGTGATTAGAATATTTCCTAAGGTCTCAATTCATGATTTATGCATTTTTATAGGTCATTCGTTGATATTTTTTCTGTCTTGGAATAATTTTAGGACTAAATATACCTTGTTAGAGGGTTAATGTCTTTAAGTAATGTCTTAAGATATCCTTTTAAAATTCTTAAAAAATATTTATGATATTTTGTAAACTAGTAAATGTCCTGAATTTAACTTTATGATTATGTAAACCTTGAATGGGAATAATTTCTTTAAAAAAGATTGAGAAACCTTCTTACAGTGAAGAAATCCCTCAAAAACTTCTTAATTTGAAATCTGTTCCTCTTTAATGCTTAGATTTCCTTCCAGTGCATATGCAAACTGAAATATTTTTGGTCACATTTAATGCAGTTACGGCATTCGTCGTTGCCCCGGGCAATTCAACATTTTAGCCGACAATTTTCGGTCGTGAAACGAACTCAGGCCTTACCCGGTGTTGACTCTGCATGTGGGCAGAAAACAAGGCAGCAACAAGCTTCGTTAGCTTGCCAGCAGTCCAAACACAGACAACGGCCACTGTGCAGGTCGTCCTATACCAGATCCTGGCACCGACCGACCAGCTCTTCTTCCTGTTGTAGTTACAATTCAAATTCCGACTCTCTCGCTAGCTCAGAACTCTGGACGAGCTGCCTGCAAAATATGCTTCATGCTACGTGGGCCAGCAAAAACATGAACAATAAAAATGGAGACAATAAAATAGAAACTACAACGGGGTAGCTTGATGGCACTCACTCCTAGCAGGAATAGCAATAGCGATAACGGTGGTCGGTGTGCAAACGAACAGGGTACAAAAACAAAAAAATGGCTGCTGTCGCATTTCCGGTGGCAGTCAACATGGCGGATGCCGTGACGCCGCCGCTGCCGACGCCGCTTTATGAATAACCAGACACAAAATACGAACTACAAAAAATGGCCAAGGGTTCATATATTTTTGAAGCCTGTTATGGTTAGAGGGAGAGCCATCCACCATCCACCATCTCCCGCTAGCAGGGAAATGTACACCCCAGTGAAAAGAGCCAGCCAATTGAAAAATAAATACAAATAGCTTATCACAACGAAAATTGACACTATCATCACAACGGGGACCTTGAAAAATTCAAATTTATGCATTGAAATTGAAATAATAGATATATATATATATATTCGCGTATATCTATAATGAAAAATCAATTTGTGATAACATTTCAAATTGGCTGTTCGAGAATAAAGTGTTATTCTTTGATAATTGGGATTTTATTTATCGGAATTTCACTGAACTGATTTTTATGAAATTTTCTTGCTCTTTTTTCTATTTTGATTAGCCAGCGTTGGCTATAAAATAATGGTAATTAAAACAAAATTTGATTTTTCTATCCAAAAGAAGCTTTAAAAAAAGCATTAAAAATGGAAACAAAAAATCATTCGCTTTGTAAATCTTAAAAATTGTCATTTTATGATATTTTATGGTTGGAAAGATTTTTATTCTCATAACTTAAACTATTTTCATTAAACATTTTGTATAAAGTTCCCTGAAACTCTTTTTTCAGTTTTAGTTTTTCGTTGACGGAAAGGATTTTAGTGGGATTTGTTTTTGCGACCTCTTCGTATTCATTTCAGACCCTTGAAGTCATGAAAACTTAATTGAATTTTGATTGCCTATCACGAGAACTCCACATAGCACTAACCAGGGCACTCTTGAATTTTCATTGGTTTTTTAATGAAATTTCCCGTTTTTTTTTTTTTACAGCTATCGACCGGCGGTCGCAGCGGCAGCTCAGTCGACTCCGTTGGCAGAGCGTCTGCAGCGCTTTCGATACCGCCAGCAATTGCAATTGCAACAGCAACAACCATCAAGCACTGATATCGACGTTTATGATAGCCCCTTTGCCGGTCATTTATCAGCTGAACAAATATCCGTAGCCAATTGGCAAGGGGGGAACCTCAAAGGGCCCGTTGGCGGGACCGCTCCAGTTGAAGCTGATCGTTCAGCGGAGCAGGAGGAGCTGCCGCCGGATCGAGTTCTATATCCAGACTCGGAACCGGAGGACGAAGAGGCAGCGCCACGACGTCGTGTGGTAATCAGGCGGCGCATAGTGCGCACCACTCGCACTTCCTCGCAAGGTCAGGAAGTTCCCAAGGATACGGTAGACCCTATTAACATTACCACCGATAGCTCAAATTCTGGTGGGATCAACGGACGCAATCTTGGCTGGCTAACCAGATTGCGCAGCTTTGGATCGAGCAATAGAAAGAACCAAGAGATTGCCGCAACGGCAGCGAACGGCTGCAATCAAAAAACTGTAACTGCTGCAAGCAACGAAAGTTGCAACACAAATCGCATCATGGCCGTCCTGCGTACTATGAAATTGAAGGAGCGCCTGGTCATCAGTCTGGGCGCCACCCTTGTCCTGCTCACCCTCCTGCTCATTGTCGATGTGCAAATGGATTTCGGGGTGGCCAATCGCCACCTTCTCCAACAGCAACACCATAAGATCCGACTGGACGGCAGTGACTATGATGCCACGGGCGGTGGTGGCGGCGGTGGTGGTGGCGGAGGAATGTTGCACGAGTTCAAGCGCAAATTCCTGCAGAAGAGGTAAGTTCGCATTCCCGGGCTATTATACACGAAATCTGACCCATCTATTGCTCCAGTCCCGCCATTAATCAGCGGATATCTTCCGATTTGGATTCTGGCTGGGAGTGGGAAACAACGGGTTAAGCGGGCTGTAATGATTCTCTCTGGGTGTATTGTAATGGAAACTGACCCTCATTAAATTAATGAGACATTAGCGAATGCAAAAGGTAACTGGAAATTTTCAAAGTTAGTGGGCAGAGGTCAGAAATGTGTTTAGCTAAGGGGAAGTACATGTATTTTTTGTTATTTTTTGAAGTTAAAAAGAGGAAGTTTACGTGCTAAATACAAATAAGAGTAGTTAACCTTTTTTCTTATATAAGGAAGTGTTACTTATCTCCCAAACTTTATACAGCACCTTCTTATTACTATAAATATTTTATGGGAGGGAGTTAAACATCACAAATTTCCCAAAAAATTATACCAATTCGGGCAACCATAAACCATATAGCTCTATTCCAATACCTTTTTTCCCGGTTTCATTTTGAGCTCCCCCAAGGAGCAAAGGGCAGCGTGTTGAAATTTACTATTCCCGAGTCTGACCAACTTGGCCACCGCTGGCCATTTCTAAGGATTAAAAATTATGCACAAATCGCAAACGGGGTCGGGCCATTGACTCCGGCAAACACCCAAGTTACCTTCTCTCCTCCCACTCCCCCAAGAGGCTACTGAACACGGCAGGGTACATAATTCAATTTAGCTGAAATGCAACAAAAGTTGCAATAAAACTTGGTTGGCCCCGGCATTAAAACGTAATTTGCTACAAAACATAAACCCAGGCCAGGCCAGGGCGAACTTCTTGGGAAATGCAAGAAAAAGAGGAGCAACCAGTATAGGAGGCATGTTAATGCCATGCCATAGAGAATATATACAGACGAACCACCAAGGGGTCGTTTTACCTTTGAACACTTCATTTTTTTTTTTTGTTGGCCACTTTTTCTGTGTTGCGTGCGGATGGGTGGAGGGCGGCTGAAAGTGGGTGGGTGTCGTCCGCCATTTTGCTGCGGCTGGCGGAAGTCGAGTAATAAAACATCAAAATGACGCAGCAAGGCGCAAGGGAAACTGTTAAGACCATCCTGCCCAGGTCCCAGGACTTCCTCCCAGGTGCAGCAAACGACTCCAGTTCCACCGCATCCCGACTGGTTTGGTTCCTGTTCCAGCTCCAGATCCTGCTCCTTTTGCTCCGTTCGCTCCTTCATTCCGGGAACATAAAACGCCAATGTTTAGCCAGTAAATATTTAATTAATTCATAAGCCGCCTGCCACCAGCCACCAGTAAAATGAATGCCTTCGGAAACCGCTCTCTCCTTCGTATTTGCTGGCTGCGACTGAGGGATACCTCCTCTCCCCTCAAGCTCCTTCCTTTTCGTCTCGCCCAGAGCTCCAAAACTCCCTGCTATCTACTTATGCGCCATGGCAAATGCAAAATTATGATGCCTCCATGCACTGAGTCGTGCAACGCGGCTGTGAAGCGTAATAAATTCTATTTAAGCATCAAATGTTTGCCCGTCTCCACCATCTTCACCGCCACCCCCCAAAAGGAACCTAAGAGAGCCCCACTGATTTCCTGTCTTGTCTCCTCGCTCCCGCTTGCCTTATAATTTTTTAATTATTTCATTAAAAACTGAAAACTGAGGCAGCCAAAACTTGGCAATCCCTACAAATGGTGTTCGCCGTCCAACCAACTGAGGCGAAATTCATTTTCACTGATGATTCTCAGTTTTAGGTTGTTATCAATCTTTATATTTTCCTTGGTTTTTTTCACTTTTTCTCTCTCAGAGAGATTTTCCTAACCCTTTTAATTAGAATTGTTCCAGCTGGCGTAGATTTTGGGCCTTACTTTTTGATAACTCTTTAATTTAAGTTGAAATCAAAATAAAAGTTGTGAAAATCATTTTAACAAGCTTGTTAGATCATACGATTTAGGGAAGAAAACTTCTAGCTAACCTAGATCCTAACACGATTGGATTTTCGATAGATGACAATGTGAGAAAACCCTGGTGAAATCCAATTAGGACTCCCTCTAAATCCATCCATTAACCCCTGGCTGTGCGGCATCGCTTTGGACTTGCATAAACTTTCACCTATGATCCTGTGGCTGCAGCGTTGTCGCTGCATTTGTTGCAGGCCCCCGTCTATTGCCATTACGAGTTGCAGTTGACTGGTTAATTAACCGCAGCACATGGGCAGCTTATGTGGCCAGCGTTACGCACACACCACGTGACACTTTAATGAGCAAAGTTTCGCCAAAGTGTAATTAAGTGCACGCCACATCGATCAGTGCAAGGGAAACAAAAGGGTTCTATTTAGTTACTAGCACTATATAGTTTTATATAGTATGGATATATCCCCCGATAGGAGGGAATCAATTTTTGAACGAGCACCGTAAATAAACGAAACAATATGTGAGGACCCTTCGTCTGCCATGCAAGTGGCTGCACAAAGGAAGGTGGTAAGAGGGCGGGAGGTGGGATTTAAATACTTATTAGCACATAAAGTGGCATTATGCGGCTGCCAATAAAACGCGAATGTGCGAAATCCGCCCAGGCTCGTTATGGCGGAAAATTCTTAATAAGCCCCCGGAGCCCTTTGGGAAAAATCGGCTTTGGCAACAGATATTGTCTCATCCACACACAATCTGCGTAAGTGTGTGTGTGTGGAAATGTTGACAGCTTCTCGGCTTTGCTGTTGCCATTTTACCACTCAGTCTACTCTTACTTCTGTCTTCTGTCTTCTGTCTTCTACTGTCTTCAGTTTGTTGGCCTATATCCACTGTCTCTCTCGGCCTCAGACATTCTCCTGGCAACTGTTAATTGAAAAAGTTTTGCATTCTCCACATGTGCACACAGACACACCTGTCTGCTTGACGGATAAGACAAGGCGCCGACAGACAGGACTTTCGCCACCCGAAAAACTTTGAATACAATTAAAAAAAAATATACATATATGTGTATGTGTGGGTATTTTCCGAGAAAACGACAATTTAGGAAAAACTCAAATTTCTAGATTTCTGGCCTAATGATGTGCACTCCTGTGCCAGCCATGAGTGCTCGTTTGGTTCAGCAGGCTCTCACTCTGACATTTGGCTTAATGGTCACACAACTGCCACATAATTCTCGGTTTTTCCCTGGGCCATATGCTAACGAGGTAAGGGGGGCAGGGAGGCAGAAGAAGGCGGGGCTGCAGGCCAGGTTATATCTCAAGCATTTTCGCCAAGCGCTGTTAAGAGTCAAGGCTAGAAAAATGGATGCAACAAATTCAAAAACTTTAATTCATTTTTCAAGCACTCTTTTTGTCTGAAGCAGGCGCTGTCTAAACGGGTGCTGATTACCACCACAAGGACAGTGGGGTCGAGTACGTAAAATATCACACAAAATATGAGAAGTAGATTACTAATACAAGTGATAGAGAAAATTTCATTCAAATACTGGTATTGTAGCTCAAAATAAGTTTAAGAAAACATTTCTTAAATTTAAAATAGTTTTTAGAAGTCTTTTAAGATAGAAAAAAATCTTCAAAAATTGTATTTATGGAACTTGTTTTTCCTTTTCTTATAGTTCATGTTAACTTCTTAATACTTCTTATGATTTTCCAAGAAAACTTTCTGTAAAAAGTTCAAAAAAGTTTCTTAATATTTACCTGATATAATAGTGATATCCCCTAGATGCCAACACTGTTCGTTCACTCATATATGGGTTCCACTTCGTCCCCCTTGAAGTGCCTGCAATTTCAGTTTATTGCAGTCAAGTGAAGAGTCCCATGTGTGGCTGGGTTTTGTGGGTGTGGATGTGGATGTGGATGTGGCTGTGGCTGTGTATACGGATGAGGATGTGGATGTGCTCGTCTTAGATAAACGCAACTAAAAACCGGGCTGACAAAGTTTCAGTTTACCTGCAAGTGCGTGTCTTTGGAAGCCTGGCCTGAGACTGGCCTGGCCAGGGGGCACTTAGCTGTCTAGGTTGCTTCAGTTCGGCTCGATGGTTGGCACTAAAAGCCAGTGGGGCACTTGGCAGTTGCAATTAGTAACGAGAGCCACCCAGACCATTGTCAAGTGCGCCCCGGTCTTTTGGGTCTCCGCTAATTATGGCAATCTTTTTTCCCCTACCATTTTTTAGTTCTTTTTTTTTTTTTTTGAAACTCACTTTAATGCAGCTCCTTTTAACGCAGTTACTTTCGTTTGCTTTTCCCTTTCATTCCAGTAACTCCTCGGGCTCCAAGGAGGCCTCCACGCAGGCGGCTGCGAGTCAGAGTGGCGGGGCAACCAGTGGCCAGGATGGGGCAGCAGGAGCTTCGGGCGGAGCAGCCGGTCCGGGGACATCGGGCACAACGTCCACACGTAAGCCCATACCGCATGATCGCTATGCGGATCTGCAGAAGCATCTTCTGAGCGACGAGTACTCGCATGTGATTGTGGACAATGCACCGGATGTGGCCAGGGACAATCCCACGCTGGCTGAGATGCTGCATCGCAAGGTCAGGTGAGTGGCACATAAAACCCAGTAGCGAAAAAATTCAATTTCCCTTAAGCGGAAGGACATAATGCTTACACTTATTTTTTTTTTGCCCACCTACCCCGGAGCCACTTTAACCGGGTACGTGGTAATTGATAGTGAAGGTGAGCGGAGAGGGTTTCCTTTACGGTTCTTTGAGGAAAAGGATAGTGAAAAGGTGGGGAGTGGGGAAGGGTGGAGAAGGAGCGGCAAAGCAGTTACGGCACTTTTCGGGCTTCAACGGAATTGAAATGATTTTTATTGAAATTTACGCTCCATTTACGTGACACATTTACGTTTTAGACATTTAGTCTATGCACTGAGGGAAGAAACTACATGATCTTTAGGAAGGTCTTTTATAAGGAATGTCTTGGCAATAATTATTAAAAAATATTCCAAGGCATACAAATGCTTATGAAAGGCTGAACAGTTTTATTTGCATAATCAAAAATCATTATTTAAGAACGAACTTTGAACTCTAAGAATTTATTTTAAGTGCATGCCCCCAGAAAATGTTCTCTATGCCCACATCTTTACGGCCATGTCTCTATCTGTCTTGGGTAAGTGTTGCCTGATTGTTGTTGCCGTTGGCAACTGTTCAAATGTTCTTCCAGCTCTACTGTTCGGTACTTCCCGGATGCCGACCGCCGATAACGTTGATGAGAGTTTGCCTTGTCTCAACATGGCGTATGCGTAATTTCATGCGAGCACAATCAAATAAAAGTGCAATAAAGAAATCAATGTGGATTTGCCGCAACCCTCAGCCCATCGCTTATCTGCGTTGTCACCGTTGGCGGAATCTCTACCATTTCCTCGGGGTTCTCCCACACCCACTCACTTGAGACAGCAATGAAATTTATTTCGACGAGTTTTCATTTGATTTTCTTTTTCGGTAATCAGCTTAGTTTTCTCCATCTTCCGACCGTTCCTTTTCAGCGATTTTCCCTTCTGCTTTTACAATGCGTTTGCCGGAATCGTTTTGGCAGTTTTTATTGAAAATTGAATACGTAGCGTATGAGTAATTTGATTTGCTTCACTAGTTGCCGAACATTGCCCCAGCTGAAGTTGCACAAAAATTCAAAGGGGTGGCGGCATAGCGGGGGCAAAACTGAGGCAAATCGAAAATGGCTAAAATGCAAAGTGGCAAAAACTTGTCAAACACAAGTGGCTGTTGTTGTTGTTGTTGCTGTTGTTTCGGCAGCGGTGGGTGGGTGTTGTCTGAGTCGGCTAAGTGTGGGCGTCGGCATTAGCATAAAATGCTTGATTTTCTAATTTATAGCACATCACCGAAAAGCAAGCCAGAAAGTTGGCTACTTTTTCTTATTTTTTTTTTTGGTGTGTCGCACGTAGGAAAATGCAAATTTCATTAACAAGCGAAATTGCTGGCAGTAAATGTGCAGGGTAGAAAGAAAAGTTGCCAGAAGGTTTAGGTTTACCTAGTTTTGGCTAGTAAAAGAAGTTGGGATGCTCTTGCAGGGAAAGTGCAAATTTTTATAGAAGTGATTTTGGTTTTAAATTATTTTCTAACTGCATAGTGGTAGTTAGTTTTAAGGTTTTCCCATTTTGGGATTTATAAAATTAGTTTGTTAACTTTCTGTTAAAATGATAAGCCAAGGTAATGTGGCATTTCTTATGAAAGACAAACTTAAAAAACAATCTCCAGCTTATTAGTAGCAAGAGTGGTAGAGACTTATCAACCCCAAAACCCTAAAAAGATCTGAGTTTGCTGAAACAGGATCAAGCCCAAGCCCAGATGCTACCGCTTCCATCTCCACCTGATTCCACTCCTGCCTGTCGCCTGTCGCTCGTCGTTCCCAACGATATCTCATTAAAATTCTGTCGCCGAGCTCTCCACATGCTCGACGTGCTCCCCTATCACCTACCCAGGCCAACATCCCTCCCCTTTTTAGCTAGCGGCTTAGTCAGCACTTTTTGGCCCAGAGCTCGGGTAACAATGCAGCGAAGAAAAGACTGCAGCTCCATGCAGGTGAAAAGAAAGGAGAGAAAAAAACCAACAACATATGACAAAATGCAAATGCGCCTAAAATTACCAGATGAGTTATTACCAGCGGCTGCTGAGGAGTCAGGTAACACCACGGCCAACTACAAAAGCCTGTCCGGCATTAGCTGGGTATATAATTACGGAAAAAGTTGTCGCTGATTCAGCCCAAAGTCCTAGGGGTCGTGACAGCAGTCCTAGCAGAAAGGGCAGAGGGAGAAAAGTGGGTTTGCGTTTAATTAGTATGACAAATTTTTAATTAGCCCTGCAATTGCGACCGAGCAGCGACGAGCGGCGACAGAAATCTTATTTCGAGCGAATTACACCCGGCTAAAAGGGAGAAACAGCAGAAGTTTTACCAGCTGTCGGTCAGGATGCGAGAATCCTGCGAATCCTGAGAATCCAGCGAACTCCGGGTAATAAAAGACTATGCTCAATGTCGACGAGTGTGTAAAACTCCGAGAGCTTGCTGACATTTCGGATGGGCGAAGTGGTTGGTGGAAATGGTAGTAGAACTTTTCCGCGACCCCTCGCCCCTCGCCCATCGCGCCAAACGTCTTCTTCCGCGGATCCCAGCTGCAGTTGGTCTGCTGTCATTGGTTTTAATGTTCGCGCTCTTGCCGCCTGAAGTTTTATCCCCGGCTACAATATAAGTTTAATTTCACTTTCCTTTTTGGCCCGCTACCAGCTCTGATGGCTCCTCTAGCTCCTCCGACTCCTTCTTGCCAACTCGGCTCAAAAGTGTCCGGAGTGCAGTCCCATGGTCCGTTCATTCGGTTGGCGTCTCCTCGTTGGTCTTGGCGGCCGCAAAATTTCACACGCACAAACTTTTCCTCCTCTCCATCTAAGCAGCACTTTTGCGGCTATGTGGCTGCGGCCAGGACGCAGCTGCTCGGGGGAAACGGGAAAACTGCTCTGTTGAAACTTTACTGACATTTTCTTATGGCGAAATAATTGCGGACTGCAGGACGGGTGGTTCGGTGGCTCGTTGGCTTGGTGGATTTTGAGCAAAGGCCAGGACATGCCGGCTGACAGCTGTTATTATAGTACCCACTTCGGCCGGCGGTATAACACCAAGGATAACAGCACTAACAATGAGGCGGACCAGGAACAATAACAAAAACAACCAGTGAAAGCCAGTCACTCGGCCAGTCATAATCCCGGGTAGAAAGTTTTTCCCACAGACGCGAGATTTCCATGGGCTCAGCCTGTAAAAGAAATTTAATATTCCATTAATTAGTAAATTTCAAGGTTCATGATGGTATCTCACCTTTGTATGTATTATTGATCAATCTGTGAAAATAATATAATAGTTGGCATAATTTTTAGAGCTCTTAATTAATTAATATTAATACCTGTAAGATAGTTTTCGGTAAACAAAAACCAAGCTTAAAGTATCTTTTCGCGGCTTTTCACGTTTATCTTAATAAAAAAAAATCCGCGAAATAATTTCGAGCTGTAAGCAAAGTTTATTCCTGGCCATTGCCATGGCAGCGGCTTTCCGCAGGACTTTGGCTGCAGGACGAAGGACTGAGGACTTGGGACTTAGGATTCCGCCTGCCCTGTCAAATCGTCAAACCGAGCGCAATTAAGCTGATTAGTGAGCGTCATTCAGTGGGGCGAGGAAGAGAGGAGAGCAGAGCTTGCCGTCGCTGACATAAATAAATTTAATTTCCGCTAAACATAACTCAAAGTAAACTTTTGACGCAAGTAACCGCCAGGAACGTGCAACTGCCGAAGGGGGCAGGCAGTCCAGAGGGGGTACTACCACCAATTATATGAAAATCTCTTTTTCAATTATTTTTTTTCGCAGCGTTTCTGTTTTTGCGCTGCGGTACGTTGTTGTCATCGTCGTTGAGCTGTCAACGCTTTGCATAACAAAGTTTTGCGCGGGCTTAGACCAGTAGAAAGAGGGAGCTTGAGGGGGGAGGATTTCTGGGTTGAAGGACGGTCGGTTGGATGGTCGGTCGGTCGGTCGGTATAGGGCCATCTAAGGGGTCTGGTGGTGGACTGTCACTGCGGTTGTCAGCGTTTGTTAGCCCATGTTTGCCGGCGTATGTGCTTGTGGGCCACGTGTCACGTGCGCTTTTGGCGTGCTTTTTCCCCACATAAACCAGCACGCCCCCTTTCCCACCCACCTCCTTCACTTTCTCTTGTAATGCGATTTCGGGTTTTGTTGACTACCGGCCGCTGCAACTGATTTACGTGACTCAATTACCAAAAGGGATTTGAATTCGCTTCGACTACGGCACGCCTTCTTTGTTTCAGTGTTTCAGTTTGCCCCAAAAAGTGCAACAGCTGGCCATTTGGTCCAAGCCGCAGACTCACACAACATATGGCCATTCTGTGGACGGCGGCCAGTGCTTAGTCAGTGTCCAGGTCCAGCGGCTTCATCAATTACGCAGCTCCTGCTGCTTCGGAATCCATTGGCCACGGCCGCACTGCTCCTTAACCGCAGTTGACAAATGAAGCTGAAATTTGACTGTGCCAAGTTAGCACGATGCATAGCATACTTTGCGGCGCGCTGCCAAAAGAAACTTATGAGCTGGATGGAAATTCGTTCAGAAAGTCATTCAACTTCATAAAATTTGTAAAAAAAATATTTAGCTAAACATAAGCTGTAACTCGAAAACTGTTGAGATTTTAGGTCAAACAAAGAATAGAGAGAAATTATAATTTTTATTATTTTACGATAAATTGTTATATTCCTAAGTTGTATACTTTATACTCTTTACTCTTTTCATCTTTCTCAGTCAATTTAATTTTCGGTTCAACTTTCTTTTTTAAATTCTTACATCAATATAAGAACCAGGAAGTATACCTTTTTCCCAACCGCATTTCAAGACAGATGACAGGGGCAATTTGGTATTTAAAAGCAATTATATGAAAATTTTTCCGACCTTTGGCTCGACTTTAATCCTGCAGATTTAAACCTGTTTTGGATTCTTGATGTAGCTCTTCCTTCCTTAAACTGTACAGGATGGAAAAGAACCCTCGTCACTCCTGTTTTGGCCCCTTCTTTGGCCTGTGAATCCTGGTCATTGTCACCGGATTGTGAGCACTTTTACGCCACCAGGTGAGGGATGAAGTAGGAGAAGGAGGATGGGAGGTTTGAGAGGTCTTAGCTTAGCTTTGGTCGTCGGGAAGTTGTCACCATTTCCATAAAACGCTGATATATTGAAAGTCATTCGGGGCACGAGAAGGTTGTCTGCCAGACATTTGTTTCCTTCCTGCGCACAAAGGCATAAAAAGGGTTAGGCGTTGAAGTATAACAGAAGTCGTCGGGCAAATTATGACTCTGCAAGGAAGAAGAGTAAGAAGGTACTAGATGGAAGTTAAGGGGACAATGAGTTATGTAGACGCCATTGAGAGCAGCATTTGAGGGGGAAGACTAGGACCAGGATATGACTTCATTATCGTGATAAACTTGCAGCGCCATAGAGCTCATTCCTCACTTTTGACTGACCAACCAACCAACTGACTACTGAGTTTTGCATTTCAATTTGTCGTGACCGGTTGGCTGGCTGGCTGCCTGACTGGCTGACTGGTGACTACTGACTGCTGGCATAAATTGTTTTGCATTGTGAAAAGCTAATGCCAATGCACAGAAAGAGAGAGAAAGAGCACATTGCAGCTTAAATTCTGACAGGGCTCTTAGTGCTTAACCAGCACAAATTGGACTAAATCTGAAAGCGTAACTGCAAGAGCTTAAGACAAAAGCACCGAGCACATTGGCCATGTGAGCAAGAACGGCACATGTCAAATGGTACAGTAAGAGGAAAGCATAATCGGAGAGGAAAAGATATTTTCCGACAATTGCCAGTCGGGCAGCAACAGGAAAAATCGACTACCACCAAAGATTACGGCTGCCTGATGCGGGGGTGTCTTGGCATTTGCAAACCAAATTGTCATGACAGCAGCGGCAAAGAAAGGCTGAGGAGGGCTAAGGCAAAAGCAATGGCAAAGGCAAAGGAGCAGGGCATTGCTTTGACAAATCAATGTGAGAAATCTTGATATGCAGCCCCAAAGCATGGCATACTTATGAGGGAGCTCCAGGCAATGACTGCACTTGAGGAAAATATTTCAGTTTTTAGTTTCAAATATCTTAACATAACGACTATAGCCACCTGAACTAAATGCTAAGATTGAAAACTTTACAGAAACCAACTAATTCTTAGGTTTTTTGTCTTTGTGGGTACATTTTTAATGGGTTTTTCCGAAAGGTTTTCTTATTAAAAGCAACCTTAAAACCGTACTCTTTCTTTTAAACTTCCTTAAAAGATTCTATAATGTTAGTTAGATAACAAATTTTTGTAGTATAACTTTTCCTCCAAGTGCAGAACCTTAGCCTGATTGTCCTTATGGCTTCCTTTTTGCCTGCAAACGACAGCTGGCTGACTGGGTGGCTGGCTCTCACTTGGCTGCGATGCTCGATTTTTACTTACATTTCTATCATTTTGTTTCCCTTTGGCCCGACCGACTATCATCTAAACCCGAACTACCATCTCTCTTTGCAGTGCAAATGCCAGCAATTTGGAGCGCTTCCAATTGCGCATCACGAAGAAGGAGCTGTACGGCGAGCAGGACACTCTGGTGGATGCGGTGCTACGTGACATGATCAAGCTGCCAATACAGCATGTTGGTAAGACAGTCTGTTTCCGCCAGTCTAGCTATTCCATGCCATCGTTACCATCTTGCAATTGTGGGATTGTAAAGTCATAAATACTGGCCAAGTTTGTTGCCCTTCCGAACGAAACGACTCAGCTGCACATTTAACTCAATTATGTAGAGCTTGGCGGCGCTGGCATTATTATTGAGGTGCCACTACGAAACTATTTTCATAGCAAACTTTTTCTCCGGCGCATTCATTAAACTCATAATTTATTAATAATAAACTTTTAACAGCGGCAGCTCGGAGCTGCGAAAAGAAAACTCATTTGCAGTTAAGGGAGAGAAACCAGAGGAACAGGCAGGAAGGCACGAGCAGGCAGGCAGAGGGCAACGGGCAGGAGTGCAACAATGACACTGTAGCGGCATAATTGCTGCAACTTTGCCATTGTGCTGGCTAGCATTTATCACGTATACGCAGCGTATTCTAACACAGAGAAAATAGACTTTGGATTTAAAGAGCAACTTTCGAAGATATAATTCATAAGTAATATGAGAAAGCCATTTTCATTTGTTTGTTTCTAGAAACAAATTCGAAATGAAATGTGGTCTTTGTGCGGTAGGAGTTTTCGGTTATAATTTGCCCCACTCCCCTCAGCATCCCCCTCTTTATGGTCAGGCAGAAACAAGGGCTTGCCCTACAATGATCAAACTATACAGTTCACTTCACACAGTGAATGGCAAACAAACAAGCCAAGGCGGCTTTTATTTTGGGCTCCTTTGTGCGGTTGCGTATACGCAATATTTGTGTGTGCTTTCTGAATGCATTGTAATTGGTATTTAGTCGAGTGTAATTTGTTTATGCAGTTGGTTTTCGTTACGTAATTAAAACAAAAAAATAATGCCGACTACAGAGATGGTGTGGTGATCGTTGAAGCGAAAAGAATTGCATGAATTTCGAACGTTTTTGCTTCAATTAATTTCAAGGAGCTTGATTAATTTACATTCATTTCTCCATCGTGTCCTTCGCAGTGCAAAAGGAGGGCGGCACCCAGCTGAAATTGATCATCGAGTACCCCAACGATATCAAGGCCTTAATGAAGCCGATGCGGTAAGTTTGGTTAACGGATGGTCGGCAGTGAAGAAGATTTTCACCCGGTCTGTCGCTGCTTAATGCATTTGTATGTCCCCTCTCTCTCCACCACCCCTTACGTAATACGTAATACGTAGCACGTAATGAATGCAACTTTCGCATTGCCCACTTGTCGACAACACATTTCGCGCAGTCGAGTAAATAAAATTGCGCTTTTCGGTTTTTTTTTTTTTGTACTCGCTGACTTTCCTGCGGCCTGTCGATGAAAATTCCACGTCCATTGCCGCCGTTTTGCGGTGGCACTTCAAGCTGCTGGCAAATTTAAAACATTCATGCACTTTTTAATGAGATTTAAACGCGTTGGCTTGGTCAACGTGCTGGTTTCCCCATCCCATGGCCATCATCTCAGTACACAAATGCGCAGCTGCCAAAGTGCAAAGTGTCCTTATAATGCCATTCATTTGCAATTTAAATGAAAGACTTTTCTTTTATTTTTTTATTCTGTTTTAAAATATATATATATATATATATATAGAGAGAGAGAGAGAGTTACAATTTTTTTTAAGTAGCACTCCCTTACGTGTAAGTAATTAAGCTGGCACGTAGCAATGCAGGTTCGTACCGTGGGAACATTCAAAGTGGCACCACGCAAATGCATTAAGCTGGTGACAGAAGCCCGCAGTTTTCTATTCATTTCATTATGTTGCCTCCCCACCTCTGATCCTTACTCATTTGCATTTTCCACAGGTTTCCGCGGGAGCAGCAAACGCTGCCCAACCATTTCTACTTCACGGACTATGAGCGCCACAACGCCGAGATTGCCGCCTTCCATTTGGACAGGTGAGTGCCAACTTTCCCAGGTTTCCCTTACTATCCTTACTCCTTCGTTCTGTTTTCCACTGAATTTTAACAACCTCACCCCTCAACCCCACCCCCTGAGGTCATTCGAGTGCATAAGAATTCCATTGCGAAATCGTTCGATCGAATTAAATCTGCCCGGGCAACGTGTAAATGTCTGGCATACTCTTATTTATTTTTAATTTAATTTTCAATTATACGTAAATATTTATGGTGAACGTTGAATGGATTGCTACCGCACCACAAAGGCGGGGAAATCAGGAAAATATTGTGCAAAATCAATTTGAAATATTCAATTAGGCAAACCAGACTGCATTCTGGCTGGACATAACCTGAATTTAATTTTGAAACAAGTAGGGAATCGCAGGGTGAAGATGGGAATACTCTTGTTGATCTATATTAGAAGGTAAACTAAAGTTATTTCTATTGAAAAAGTAATATTAACTTTTAAAACCGTAAAGAAATCTACACTTTTCCTTCTCTACAAGTTTAATTTTGAAAATATTAGAACTTTTAAGAGCCATTCCAGCCATATAAAACCCCAAGAAGTTTACCCCATTAAACTAAACATAAAAATGGGTATATAAACTCCAAATATTTCTTACAAAAACCTAACATTCCTTTGGCCGTTAATGGCTAAATTTCCCGGGCAGCGAGAGCGTTCAATTTATTTTCGCTACCACACATTTCACATTTATGGCCCCTTGAAAGTTATTCGTTTTTTTAGTGCATGACAAAGCAATCAAATTAACCAATTTGTCGGCCATGTGAACCGGTCCCTTGGCCAACATTCGGCATTCAAATTTATAACACTTTCTGGATGCCTGACCCTCGGCGATTAGAATCCCAATAATCCTGACACACACACATACTAAGGTCAGACCGCAGTCAATTTATGTTCATTATTTATGATGGCCGGGTCAAAAAATGATATAAAAAAAAATACATTGCCCGTACATACATTCAGCCTGGGGATGAGGCCAAGGCCAAAGGGCGCCATTAAATGATGTTTAAGAATATTTTACAAAAAAAATGTAGGGCAAAAAGCTGGTCTCATGTAAATGATGTGGCCACATAACACAGACGGCTATCTGCGCCCTTTCATGGCTAATTAACTCGGCCAAGTGGCCTGACATGTCCTGCCGTAATTTGGACTCGAATTGTCTGCATAGTTAGCAGCTGCTGTTGCTGCTCCTTCCTTTGACAAAACTTTGACGGCCAGGTTAATTGCCGGGGGATTTTTGAATTTAGATAAGGCGTCATAACTTGTGTAATTGTTGTGGCTGCCAAACGCACGCACATGCCACCATATCCCCCTCTCTCCCTCAACCTGTCTAGTTGGCCAACTCTCCTGTCGATTGGCTGGCCAGCCAACTCCGTAGGATTTGCCAGGGCAAAGTTCTGCCAACTTGGAGGGCCTGTCAGCTCCTCTAATGGAGAGGAGTGTAGGTGGAGGTGGTGCGGAGTAATGTGTGATGGAGTGGCTCTGGGTGGGTGATGGAAATTTACGGCATTTTCCCATTGACCCCAGGCTGCCGTCGACTGTGCCCCAGACAATGGAACATGCTTCATGTTGCCAAATAATTTCGATAATATTTTCTGGTCAGCCCGACAACGCCTCCTCCATAAATCTCATGTGAACCCTTTTTTTTTTATTTTTGTGCCAGATCGAAAGGGAGATTAACCGTGACTTGCTAGAAAGATTTTCTAAAAATTTCATTCATTGATTTAACGGGGAAATCTATTTTTTACTCCGACAACGTAATTTGATTGATGCAAAAATAAAGCTTGGAAAAGTCTCGGGTTTCACTCAATTAGCTCAATTGTTGTGCGGTTGGGTTTCCTTAAATAAACAAGGAATTATTTTCCTTATTGTATTATTGTTCCCTATCGTTTCCCTGACAACAGTCCACAAATATTTTCCTTATTCTTGATTACGCATTCCGCTTCGCACGAAAGTCTTTTTCCGTCGCCTCCACAAACCATTAAGGGAAAACTTTTTCTCGGTGAGCTGTTATTTCGTAGGATGTTTCTGTTTATGGGGGGTGCTCATAGGGTATGTAGGGTTTATAGGGTATATAGTTCATAAATTTTATTTTTAAAAAGAATTAAGAAAAAGTTTTTAGCAAAATTTCAGTTTATTTTGCATTTTGTAAAAGACTTTCCTTTGCCATAAATATTTTTGTATATTTTTTTAATATTTTAAAAAGGCACTCTTATAGTCGGCTACATCGACTTTAGCTACTCCCCCTAGACCATTTTTTTTTGGCATTTTGTTAACCGCTTTTCTGCGCCTCTTTCTCTGGTTACAGGATCCTGGGATTCCGGCGTGCCATGCCCGTGGCCGGTCGTACGCTGAACATTACGACCGAAATTTATCAACTGGCCGAGGAGAATTTATTGAAGACGTTCTTTGTTTCGCCATCGCTGAATTTATGCTTCCATGGCAAGTGCTCGTACTATTGTGACACCTCGCATGCCATTTGCGGGAATCCTGACATGCTGGAGGGCTCCTTTGCCGCCTTTCTACCCAACTTTGAGTCGGGCAATCGTAAGGTATGTATGTGTCTATCTAAGAGGCGATGACCCTCTTTGTCCCTCCTGTCCATCTCACCAGCCTAGGTAGCTGGCACTTCATCCAGAGCAGAGCACGCATGCCAGTGGGTTTTGGGGCTTGTGGGGCTTGGGTTTTTGGGGATCATGTCTTGTGTGTGTGAGCCTGTCCTGGCCTCGCCTGGCTAAGTGGTTTTTGATTAATGCACGGACCAGCTTCAACACAGCGCCAGATTACAATTTATGCTCACCGCCCCGCTTTCATTACCAATTTCGTGCGCCTGGCCGGGCCAAAATAACAAATCACTTTATTTACTTAGTCTGTAAGCTGTGAGTGTGCGGCTCTTAATGTGGCATGGTAGCTTGCAACAGGTGAGCTATGGTGGTCAGTTAAGAGTAGGTGGTAGGACATGGGCCTCTAACAACTCACTTAAGGCTTGGAACAGGGAATTTTAAATAGCTGGCTGGCTAGCGTAAGAACTCACTTTTTTAATTTGCATAATTTGTGTTGTTCGTATGCCTTTTTATCCTTTGTTTGTCCGCTGGACTCGTTTACCTTTTCAACCACCCCAGCGATCCACTTAATTCCCATCACCACTCCCATTCCCATTCCCATTTCCATTCCCACTCCCATTTTCCATTTCATTCATTCGTTTCGCTGTTGAATTAAGAGCAGAAATATTGTATCAGTTCTTCAGCGACTGGTAAAGCGTAAAATGGAATATAAAATGCAGGAACCCAGGGCCTCAGTCGTTGGCGTTAATAAATTCTAGAGTCCACTCCATCAACCAAAAAATAAAAAATAAAAAAAATGAGAGAAAACCTGAAGGGAAAAACAGGAAGAAAAAGGGACAACGGCAACAGCTTTTAAATGCAAATTACCGAAAAAATTAAAGCCCAGTCCTGTCCACTTCAGGACTTGGCCGTCTCAGTTGGCGAGCTGCGGCCATAAAAAGGGTTTATCCTCTACCTCATCCCTCAGATTTGCCGCAGCAGCAGAGGCATTTTATTTTTAGTCTATTTTATACATAGATATATATGTATATATATATATATTTTAGTATCCCTCTGCCCCGAAGCCTCAAAGGAATAATTCTCTTTATTTTCCCCCCTTTTTTTTGTGTGCGGCTTGCCCTCCAAACAGTTTACAAGTAGAAAATGGTTAAGTGTATACTTGAGATTTGGCGTAAGGCAAAACTGTAAATTATGCACAAGAGATCATTTTTCTTTCTCCTTTTTCCGCTGCCACCCTGCCTCTCCATTACCTCTACCGTTCTTCCCCTGTAAAACCTCTTTTTTACTTCTGCTGTTCAGGTTTTCTTACTTTCCTTTTCCGGCCTGGCTAAGTTTTGTTTCCCCCCGCAGCGTTGTAAACAACGCAGCAAATTTTTCTTTTTTGTAACTGAACAGAATTTTAATTAAGTTGCAAATTTGATTTGCACGCTTGTTAAATGCTTTGGGAATCCAGCTAAGAGGGATCTACGGGTAACTAAATTGCAAACGACTAAAACGAAAAAAGGAGGATAACTAAACAATTGATTAGATTAGGCGGAGGTTTAAAGGGGAATTCAAACATTTTTAACTGATTTCGTTTCAAGGTGTGGAGATGGAGAAGATTCAAATAAATTAAATGGTTTTACCTGCAGGAATTATAATTAATTACCAAATCAATATCTTTTTTAAGGGGTTTATAGTATAGTTTTATAAAGCCGCTTTTACTAAACTTAAGATGATGACTTAACAGCATTTATTAGATGAAAATGTCATGTTAGCATTAAAATAAATCGTTGCATACTTTTAGACTAAAAGACATAAAAATTCCACATTTACCAATAACATATTCTTAATCCCAAATTGGCTCTTAGAACTAATTTTAAGCCACATTTAATCTCGCCCACTAAAACATTTTAGGCTGCATATTTTGTTAAGTATTTTTCCAGCTTGATTAGTTATTTTATTATTGATTTTAGCTCTGCATTTTTTAATTAACTTTGTCATCAAAATATTCCCAAAATAATCTGCTGACTAAGCTGGTCATTTCCATAAAAGTCATTGCATCTTAAAGCTTTTTCACGAATTTATCAAGTCCATTTAACGCGCAGCTAACAAAAATTGCAAATTGCTTGCCTCACATTCTATCTTCTCTTTTTTTTTGCCGCCGCCGTCGCCCCTTTTCCATTTCCCGCTGCTCTTATAAAATTTAATTTTGCTTGATTTATGCATTTTTTTTTGGCTAAGCTAAGGTGAACAGTGGAGCTAAAGAGCGCTATGAGCGGCCCCGCTCCGCTGTCACCATGGCAGCGTTAACTTACCTGAGTTTTCTGCTTTATGTTTGCTTCTTTCGCACATTTTCTTTTTCCCCATTTTCGTTTTTTTTTTCTGTAGCAGTTTGTTGCCTTTCCCCCAGTTTGCATTTTCCGCTTTCTGTTTGCCTTGCTTTGCCTTGCACCGCCTGCTGCATTCTTCGGACCGCTAACCCCTCGTCCGCGAAAAGCGTCGGGATAGCCCCCGCGCTTCCGGTCATTACACACTCCGCCTCCGACGCCACGCCCACTCAGCATAAAACGCCCAACGCGCCGAGCTTTTATTATGCATTTTTGTGCGCTTTTCGCCCCTCAAAAAAAAAAAAAAAAAAAAATGAAAAAGAAGCACCCCTCGTCCTATTATTTTTAATTCTTTTATATATATTTCATATATATTTTTTTGTGTTGCTGCCCCGCCCGCTCCCGTTTCTGCTGTTCCTGTTCCTGTTCCCGTTCCTGTTTCTTGTTGCTGTTCCTGTTTCGTTGTTATTGTTGTTGTCGCTATTGTTGACCCCCTGACCCCGCAACTCAGGGACGGAAGGTAAGTTGCGGTGGCCGCAGAAGCAACAAACGCAAGGGGTTTGCCTCAAAAAGTTTTATTGCCCGCCTTGGCCAGCGTGCCGGGCAAATAATTTAATTTAAGCAAAATTAATTTGGCCTGCAGTTGGAAGAATTCGCGAGAAAGACAGCGAGAGGGCAGCCATAAAGCAAAATTAATATTCTCACACTGGGGAAAAAACTGTGAATGAAGTGCTGAAGTTAAGGAAAGGGATCTTAAAAACAACTTCTAGGCTATCGACGTAACTTTTTACGATCTTTCTTAACGCAGCCTTTTTCTGTTTTCTAAAAATGTAAATAACTTTGTACCTATTTTTAAAATTAATTATCTTTCGATTATTTCCCTTTGAAGGGTTAAACTTTCTAGCAGAATAACTTTTAAATCAAGAAAACTATCTTTCTCAGTGTACATTTCATCCGAATGCCAGTTGCTAAGACAGGCATAAGTCTGCCAATTTTGTTAGCTGTGTTCTGTTTGCCTGCAAGAATGTGAATTGATTTCCGGTCGTCCTTTGTTTTTTTTCTGTTTTCTCCTTAACAGCTGTGGCGGCATCCCTGGCGACGGTCCTACCACAAAAGGAAGAAGGCCCAATGGGAGACAGATGCCAATTATTGCGCCCTGGTATGTAGCCTCCAAAGAGTGCTCCTCCTCCCCTGTCTCGTGCTGCGGTTTCTTTTATTTAATTTGCATTTAAACTCGATTGAAATGCAAATGTTTTTATTGTGGTCGTAGCAGGAGGGCGGGATGTCCGAGACTGCCTGGAGCTGACTTAATTAAGACATCGCTGGCCGAGCTGCAGCTTAATTTTGCATTTGATTTTCCCGTTTTTTTCCTTAGGTCCGGGATATTCCACCCTACGACGATGGCAGGCGGCTGTACGACCTTATGGACATGGCCGTCTTTGATTTTCTCACTGGCAACATGGATCGTCATCATTACGAGACATTCAAGTGAGTATTGGGTATTGGATGGGTTGAGGGACACGGGCTCTTCAAGGGTTAAGCCGGATGTAGTGCACACTGCCTCCCCTCGAAGGGGGTGGGAGGGTATGTGTATGTGTCCTTGGCATGGTAACTAATGCGATCGGTTTATTTCCGCACACATGGCTTTGTTGGCTTCCTGCCTCCGTATCCTTTCGGTCTGCCTTTGGCACGTTACGTATGCGCCCCGTGTGCGCCTAAGCGCCAGCATTTGCCAGGGATATGCCAGCACCTGCATGCCAAGCAGCAGCCGCCGATGAGAGCCAGATGCAGCAGCTGGAAAGATATTTCCAGACCGCCTGCAAAAGGTTGCAAAACATCTCCAGCTCTTTGTAAGCCGCCACTCCAACGCCCACCATTGCCTCGCATCATCGATGCCGGCGCTTTAGAGTCTGGATACCAGGTGCCAGGTGACTTGGCTAGGCTGCTGCTGCTGCTGCTGCTGCTGCTCCTGCTAAATTGTTTGTTATGCAAAAGCGTTTGTTGGGCTTACGGCGATGTCATCGCTGGCACACAGCTAACACCTGCCCGGTATAGTGGGCTCCCTCGTCTCTGGGTTCATTCCTGACTTTCCCAGAGGAAAGACAACATCCCATCTCCCTATACACTTCTCGCCAGGCAATTATGCCACGCCAATCTGCCAAGGGAAGAGGCAGCAGCAGGACTTGGCCTGGCTGATTGCCGAATTCACTCTAATTTGGCCCGGCTTTCGTTTCCATTCCAGGGTCTATGGCAATGAGACGTTCCCCCTGCATTTGGACCACGGACGTGGCTTCGGGCGGCCCTTCCACGACGAGCTCTCCATCCTGGCGCCCGTTCTGCAGTGCTGCCTGATACGCAAGTCGACGCTCGTCAAGCTGCTAGAGTGAGTATTGGCTTTAAGTCTGGAATTATTAGTTAAGACTTCCCTGGAATTTTACTATTTGAAAAGGAAAACTTTAAAGTTATTTAAAACTCTTACCTTGACCTTTAAACTCTTCTTCAGGTTCCACAATGGCCCCAAGCCGCTGTCGCAGCTGATGAGCGAGTCCCTTAGCCAGGACCCTGTCAGTCCGGTGCTTTGGCAGCCGCATCTGGAGGCCCTGGACCGGCGGACCGGCATCATTCTCCAGAGCATACGGGATTGCATAAAGCGAAATCCGCCAGGCGAGGTGGATGGTTCAGAGGCGGATCTCTCCTCGTAGCGATGAGGAGAGATTACAGAAAACAACAACAAATCATCCTAGAGCATTAGCTTAAAAAACCCCCCCTTTAGCTGTTAGTCGCGTGTCCTGTGTATGTTGAAACTGAAAAACAAAACAATTAGCGTTAATATTGGTGGCAAACGGTCTTTGAAAAAGATCAGCGTCCTAAGTGAAGGAATCATCCCCGTCGCTCGTGTCTGCACATACCAAAAAGAAAAAAAAGAGGAAAAACTGAGGAAGAAGGCCAAGAGCCGAGAGCCGAGAGCCAAGGGCGGAAATGAATGCACTCTAATCTCTATACTTTCACCTAGATTGTTTGTCGGGCAGCTGGAGTTAAGCATTGATTGGCAATGAAAATTGAGTACCTCTCCCTTAAGAACCACCCACCCTTCTCCCAATCGCACTCCCAAATCAAATCGAGCACTATCTTACGCTTACAGTGGGTGCCAAAAGTAAACAAAGACACTGAGTGCAAACAACCTGAACGAGGGAAAGTCGAAAAATAAAGAAAAACTAAAATACAGGGCGAATCTTAACATTTTTGCCAGGAAGGAGGAAACTTGTTCAAAAAGACTATAAAAAAGAAACATAAACAACATCAAGAACTAAAAACTAAAAACTAAAAACTAAACAAAAATTGAAACTATTTTCTAAATATTTATTTATAATTTTTTCATAAATTTTACGACTTTTATGTGCATACACAAACACATATACCCCCTGACCCCCGCCCATTCTCAAGAGAAAGTTGTTGCAAGTTTAGTTTGTAAGTTGACCTAACTTTAGGATCGATATCAGGCGTAGCTTTATCCGATTCCAGGATCGTCTCTTCTTAGTTAGTCCAATCAGTTCCAGCGAGAATCATGTACTTCACCGTGTGCGAAAAGTGAAACCAACTACTGTTAAAGCAAACTAATTATTATGATTATTGAGTATGCATAGCTAAGTTAATCTTGTTTTTATTATTGTAACGTTTTTCAATTGTACCTTGTGTGGTTGAGATATACGAGTAGATAACATATTGATTGGCCAAGAGACGGGTGTGTGAAATGTATAGTGTGAACACTATATAAAGTGACAGCAACAACAACAACAACAACAACAACAAAATTGTGTTAGAATTAGTAAAATTTTAGTGAAAATTTCAGATGTAATTAATAAAAAAAAGTACCAAAGAAATTGAAATGTGTTTTTGAATTTTAACGGTTTTAAGGTATTAAAAAGTAAGTTATCGAAGCTTTGGCTTAAGAGAGTGGAGGAACTACTATTTACTCTTCCGATATATCAATCAATCGATCGCTACTCAATTGAGAGCAGTATTTAGTGTGCTCTCTGGTACTTCGCTCAGCTGGAATAGCAGCTAGTGGGAACAGTTTTACTCTTTGCCTTGCTATGTTTAACAGAAATGTTATCTAACAGTTGCGAAGCCATTTCACTGTTGCTGCTCTGCCACTGAAGCTACTCTTCTGCCGCTGCTCTGCCACTGTTAGAAAAAGGTAGTATTTTAACATTTCTGTTAGAAAAAGAAGAATTTTACTATTTTGATAGGAAATATAAGAAAGATAAGTAAAATATGGAAATTATATTACGATTAGGATGGGATATTATCTCATGAATAAGTGGGGAATCTGGACGGATCTACTCCCCTGAGCATAAAAGATCATTAAAGGAATCTCATTCGCTGGCGCTGTTATCATTGTTTTGGTGCGCGTGGGGGCCTGCGTCAATGGCCTCCCTAACTGGGAACAGTCTTATCAAAGCTCTCTCTTTGCTCTGCTGGAGGGGCCGCTCTACAAAGAACCACCATATGTACCGGCTACCTAGCAGCTGTTGGGGTCAGTTTCCTGATAGCTCCAAACAGAGCACGTTGTGTGATTTCTTTTTTGTTCTCGTCCCGCAGCTTTATCAATTAAGAGCCCCAAGTGAGTTCGCTGATGAATGGTTGTTTACTTATATTTTTTTTGCCAAATTGAATTAAATCTATAAAAAATATATAATAACTGAAAGCAAGACCCAGGCTGACAGATCAAGTGTTAAGAATACCAAAACGATTATGTAATCGCTGGGCGGCAGACAGCATTCCAATGTCGAGTGACTGACTGGCTGGCTGGCTGGCCGACCGGGAAATTATTGTTTATTTGGTGTTAGATCCCCATTGGCCATATCAATTATTTAAGGCAGTGCAACTGACGTGTCTCAACGTGTAATGTAAATGAGGATGCGATTCCACTTGGGAATCTTGGCTTCGGCCATCCATAAAAGGAAAAACAGAAACGCCAACATAGAGAAACCTTATGCAAATATCCGAGCTAATCAACTTGCAGAGAATGGCGAACCACCACACCGTTGTTGACCTGCGCTCGGACACCGTTAGCCAGCCCACGGATAAGATGAGGCAACGGATGGCCAACGCCATCGTTGGGGATGACGTATACGGCGAGGATCCCACCGTCAACGAACTGGAGGCGCGGACAGCGGCCATTTTCGGCAAGGAGGCGGGCCTCTTTGTGCCCAGCGGCACCATGGGAAATCTACTGGCAAGTGAGTGGCAACTACCATGGCTCGTAAATAAACTCCGGCCACCGGTGGTCTCTGTTAGTGGATTTCCGTAGTCCAAAAAGGGGAGGGCACTTTGGGGGGAAATCGCTTATGTTTATTAGTTTAAACCGAGGCCAGTCCCAGATTACACAAAAGCCAAGTTAGGGGTGGTCGGGGGTGTGTGTATACCAGCTAAAAAGGTGAAGGAAACAAGAAAGCAGAGCTCATATCATGCATCAGGTACATTATCGTAAAGGCTAAGGGCAGCCATAAACATAACATTAATTTTTATAGACTTTAATATTAGACGTGGACGTGTGCCACAGTCGAAGTTGAGCTCAAGGAGAAGGAAATCCCCCAGAAGGATAAAGGACCAAAGCCCAAGGAGCAAGCCAGGAGCAACCTGGGCATCGCAATCTCGAGTAATTTATGCATTCGCTCAAATTAATATTTCTAATGGAATTTGAAGTTTGCATTTCATTCAAAAAGAAACTGCACTCAGACTTCCGATTGTGCTAATTTTTCACGAGGGTTGCTCATTAAGTATGCGGCCATAAAGAGGAGGAAATTCATGAGAATGCTTTATGGTTGGAATATTATTTTTTAAAAAGGGAATTTTATTGGAAATGTGATCAAGTACATGGTGAAATTATAAGCTAGCATGGAAAATCATCATAATAAAGCCTTGATAGGCGCTATAGAGACAAACATTTCCTTATCTTAACACGGTCAAGTACACTTCAAAGCTAATCGAAGATCAATTAAGGGGAACAGGTGTTAAATCTTTTCGTGGCTGTTGGAAACATTTAAATGTTATGACTTTAAAGAAACTTCCGGAAACTAAACAAAGACTTAAGAGAGGTCTGTGACATAAGCTTTCTTAGATGATAAAACAGAATTCAGATTTAGTTTGAAATCCTTTAAAAGATGTCACCAAATTCTCAAAGTAAGTTAAGAGTCAGTGCAAACAGTCTTACCAAATTGCGTGTGGTTGAATCCTTGATTATACCAACTCCTAAGCCAAGTCAGTACTTCAATGTTTCCCTTGACATTCCTCTATCCCCTCCGCAGTTATGGTTCACTGCCATCGCCGCGGCACGGAGGCCCTGGTCGGCGATTTATCGCACATCTTTCTGTACGAGCAAGGTGAGAACAGCAAATACACGCCATACCCACCGACACCAACGCCAGAGCGTCTTCATTAATCACGTTTAGGTGGAGCCTCGCATTTGGCCGGAGTCCAATTAGCCACTCTGAAGAACGAACAGGATGGCACTTTCAGCCTCCAGGAGCTGCGCCGCAGGATCCGACACGATGATTGCCACGAGCCCATCACTTCGCTGGTCGTGGTAGAGAACACCCACAACATTTGCGGCGGCAAGGTGGTACCTCTGGCCTTCCTGGACGAGCTGGCCGCTTTGGTGCGTCAACCGGGCGTGGGCACTGGTAACGCCCGCATTGCCCTTCATATGGACGGAGCGAGGGTCTTCAATGCGGCCGCCGCCTTGGGCGTGGGCGTGGAGCGTATTTGCCGCGACTTTGATTCGGTATCTATCTGCCTCAGCAAGGGCTTATCGGCCCCCGTGGGATCCGTGTTGGTGGGCACCAAAGCCTTCATTTCGGAGTGAGTGTTTGACCCACGCCCACGGCATGAGTATCTAATTCGCCGCTTGCTAGGTCCTTATTTGCTTTCCCCAGTTCCGGTTACTTCAATATAATTACGGAAATTGCTTCTTAGTTCAAGTCCATTTTTAGGACTTCTTGACAATAATAATTTTAGTCATCTAAAAATATTTCATAAAGGTTTCCCTCACTTTCTCTTTCTGAATTAACGTATTCAAAGTTCATGATTTTTAGTTAATATTAATAAGTTTCTGTCCTATTACCCAATTTCAATCATCATTAACACCCGTCTTCCCATATTTAGAGCACATCGACTACGCAAGGCCTTGGGTGGCGGCATGCGGCAGGTGGGCATCTTAGCAGCAGCCGGCCTTGTTGCCTTGGAGGAAGTGGTTCCACTTCTGGGCAAAGATCATGAGCGGACCAAGAGAATCGCCCAAGGCAAGTGCAAAGCACTCCTAACCTGATTGCCCACTCATAACAACCTGTATCTGTATCTCCCCAGCTATTTACGAGCTGAAAAGTCCCAACATCACCGTGGATCTGGAGACTGTGCAGACCAACATACTTCTGGTGGAAATTACACAACCCAAGCTGACTGCCAGTGAGTTCTCCACGCGTTTGGGAACCATTGAAACCGGAGAGGTAGATGCCGGAGTGGCGGATAAAAGTGGTGCAGGAATTGTGGTGAAGGCCAGTGCCAGGGACTGGGCATTTGCCAGATTGGTGCTTTACCACCAAGTGGACGACGAGCAAGTGGAGCTGGCAATCAGGAAGCTGAAGTACGTCATTGGGCAGTACGACCAGAGATGGCCCAGGGCCTAGAGTTTTGTGATTCTTTTGAATATTACTAAAAAGACAAACACACAATTAGATTTCGCATTTTGTCGTTTAATTAAAGAGATAGAGGGAGCCAGAGAGAAAGAACTCAAATTTGTATTATTGCCCCTTGAGTGGGTCCGAGCTGCGTTTACATTCACGCATGACCGCGCACCGCTCTGATGGACATCCTGCCGGAGTCCAGCACCCTACCCTCCCCATTTAGCTGCCCACCTCCTCCCATCATCTCCGCCAGAAGTTTCCCTTGTGTGTCTGCATGAGTGCCCGGCTGAATGAAATAATAAAATTATTTTTACAATATTATTGTCAATCCAGCGATGTGCTCATCGATTTAAAAGCCTGCACAGGATGCTCCTCCATCCTTGGCGGCAGCAGCCATCGGACAGTTGTGATTTATAAGCAAACTTATCGCCGGCGAAGGCGGAATGCGCTCAAAATGATTGGATGCCGTGGAGATACTCTCGGATCCTGGGTCCCTTACAATGGATTAGAAGGGCAGTTGGGCTGACTGAATGGCATCATGGCGAGGAGGCGGGGGCGGAGTTTTGGGCATTGAAATGTTATATTTTATAAATTATGCTATGCCAAATGAAACGAAATTCAATTAGAGAAATTGCTGAAGCATTTGATAAATTGAAATTGAATTGACTTGGCCAAAGTTGCTCTTTGTCTGCGCGCCTCTGCTTTTTTGGGGCTCCAAAAGATTTCTGGCCGGGATTAATATGTGTAAGGGAAAGTCATCTGGCCAAATGGCAAGTAATTATAGAGAAGGTTGATTTTCCGATCGACTTTCCCACAAAACTTGCACTTGGTGGAACGTACAACAATGAATTCGATTTGTGCCCGAAAGTATGCAATGTGCTCCATTAAAGAGCCACTTTTCAACTCTCCCCCAGCAGAAAAGCACACACACGCGAGCTTTGCAAGAGAGGGAGATGGGTACAGAGAGCCAGAGTGGGGGCAGTCTATAAATAGCTCCTAGACATGCGACGTTGGGTGTGAAAATGTGTGTTTGCGGTATTGCTTTTAGCCCACCGCTCCATCATCATCATCATCACCATCATCGTAGCAACAGAAGTTAATAACCCACCCTGAAGATTCACAAAACTCCTCAATTTTAACTGGCAACCCATTGCCGTAGCTCTTGGACTGGTTTTAGCACGCTCGCTCGCAACATGTCAGGATGGCCGAGCGGTCTAAGGCGCCAGACTCAAGGCATTCAGCTTTGCCCTTCTCAGAAGGGCGTTGTGAGCGTTCTGGTCCTCTCTGAGGGCGTGGGTTCGAATCCCACTTCTGACAAAGATTTTTTTTTTATTTTTTTTTTTAAATAAAAAATGTTAAAAAAACTTTCGCTGGGATACCTTTCTTATAAAAGGGTATTTAGAACTTTAAATGTAATGTAATTATATTATTGATCACCTTAAGGGTCTAAAATGTATTCTATTTTTCTAAACTTTTAGGTAATATATCAACTTTTACTCTGTTATGAAAATATATTCTTTAACTTCCAACCACCAAAACTGATATTTATCATTTGCAAAAGCTTGCGTTACCAAAATCCCAGTTTTTAATGCAATTAATTTTCCGCAATTATTAATAATTGTATGCGAAACGTAAAATCTACATCCACTTGCTTTTCGCTTATTGCAAATGTAAAACTTTGTTGTATGCATTTTTGAATTATATTTAAACTGTTTTTAGTTGTGCTCTTGACATAATTGCATGTCCTTTCTGTTTTGTAAACATTTAATAGCATTTGAGGCCAATTAACGTAATTACATGGACCGGTAGACAGTTGTGCAGCATGCAGTATGCAGCATGCAGCAGGCAGTGCATTCAATTATGTGGCACACGCTCTTTTCCCAGCCGTTTAAACAAATGAATTGCTTCTAATGAAGTATTTAAGCGCACCTTTCTGTCCAGCCGTGTGTGCGATTTAGTTAAAGTTGAAGTAATTTAATTATGCATTTACACGGTCGACATGTTCAATTAACTAAAGCCACGTTACGTCGACGCTGGCATTAATTTCTGGGGATTTTCAATTCAAACTCGCCTCTTAATGGGCATTAGCATGTTTATTATCGCCCCGAACGGCACCGACTTTATTGGCCACGCCGCTTTATGGCACGTGCCGCGTCTGCCACGATTGTATGGAGTTTTGGGGGTTGCCTTCGCATTAAAATGGGTTTCATATGCGCGGATACATGATGAATAGCGCAGCTCCTTAGCTCCTTGGCCCAATAAAATATGATGGAAAAACGCCATTCCCTCATTATGCCAACCGGGGATTGGCGTGTTACACTTTTCGCCACCCGAAATGACAATCTGTCATGAAATAAAGTCGTAAACCCTCAACCCCCCCCGCTGAAAGGAACCAAGGAGCTGGCAGGGATTGTTCTTTGTCCCTGGCTAAATTGAAATTTGCATGAAGTCCAGCCCGCCACAACAAAATGATTATTCAATTTCAATAAACGCCCTGAAATCCAACCCGGAGATCTTCAATGCCTTTTCGTGCCTTTCAACAATGAAAGGCATAAATTTAAAGATACAACGTCATATTGAAGGATGAATGTATCATGTTTCATAACAACATGTTATGGCAAAAGGATGTTTTTAACGTGCTTTTAAAATGTTATTGCTGCTACACAAAACATTTGATTTACAACAAAGCTATGTTCCTTCATGTTTTTTAGAGTCATGCTTCACTTTGAACTCTTTTCATCGAATGTCCCGCTTGTTTGATGGTTTTTCGGGTGCTCTAATTTAATTAATTGCATGCGCCTAACTAAAGTCAAACAATTTCCGTATTTAATCAACGAGAAAGCAAACGAATGACTCAGAGACCCAGCGTCAAAGGCGAAAGAAGAGTCGGCCATAAAGGATACTGGATGATAGATGCGGGGTACTGGGCGGTTGGTGGGTGGTTGTAAGTCATGCGAACTCATTTCGAAAATTAAGCAAATGTGCTTAAGTATAGGTGGGTTTGTGTCTATATCCACAGTGTGTGTGTGTTTGCTTTTCCCTATTTTTCCCTCTTTCCTCTCTGCAATGTATATATGTGTTTGTGTGTGTTTTTGGGGGGCGTGGCTGGGTGAGCATAACGTGATTGCTGCCAATTTCACAAAGCAGCAAATTGATGATGAGCTAATGCTTTGAAAATTATTGGGAAAAAATATTTAATAGGTTTACGTCGGGCTCAAGCTGTGTACAAAAAAAGAAAGCTTTCGAATGAGTGGAGAAAGTGTGACGACTTGGAGGAATTCTCATTGAAGTTTGGGGATGTTTTCCTGGTTGGAAAATTGTATTTTCAAAACTGATTCACTTTCCCTTCTTTTGTAGATGATTTATTGAGAAAGAGAAAGTGTAAAATATTAAAAACCCACAAAAAGTTGTTAATTTTGATAAGAAATACTTGAAAATGGAAATTCATTAGGGAAACCCAACACTCAACCTCGTAGAAGAAAGAAATCACCAAACCGCATCATTTTGGTTTCTGGCTATCTGCAAATTTAAAACGATTGCGAATTATCAGGGATGTTCCCATGAGTTTGGCCAGGCCCCAAGGGTTTTTCCTCTAAGCGATACCCATTGGGATACCCGTTGATAACGCTTATCGCAAGATTACGCCAAGAGTGTTGTCATATAAAAGCATTTGAAACTCGGCCAAAAGCAATCAAACCTAAGCGAATTAACATGGTCAACGGTATTGCTATTTTGTTCCTTTGCGGACTGGGACTAGTCGGTGCTGACCAGTTAAGGGAGGAGCTCCAGTCTGTTCATCATCGTCTTGGACTTCTCCAGGCAACGCTGCCCAAGAATATTGACTATGATAAGATAGACACACGAGCTGTTGCTACTGATGACACCAAATGCCTAGAGGATATGGCAGAGCTCTTTAGCGGGCTGAAATCGGGCAGTTACTGGGCACTCAAGAGTAAGTGAGATTACATAATTTAATTTGATTTTATAACTGATACATTTTGAAATCCCTCAGTGCTTGATTCTTGGGGTTCCCTACCCTCGGGCCTGCTTTATGGCACCTTTTACAATCTCGGAAACTTCGATGAGTGTCTCAGCATTCATCAAGAGATCAGCAGCAGTCAAACGATCCAGGGCAAATATTGTTTCCTGGCTGTGCCCCTTAAGGATGTCCTGGACACCGGTATTGCTTCCTTGGAAAGCATGCAGATCAAGATTGCCTCATGTTTCCCGGCTTCCTGTTCGGCAACTCAGATGGAAAACTATGCAGGGCAATTATATCAAAATGTATTCAACTTGACAAAAAGTGTAGATATAACCATTGATGAAGAGGGTTGCCAAACAAGTGATCCCGAGCCCTGGGATGGCCTTACGATTTTCACAGTGTAAGTTAACAGGAGCTTAAACTATATTTATAATATTTAAAATTTAAATTGCAGTGTGATTCTGTCTGTGCTGACTTTAATAGTAGGTTGTTGCACTTTTTACGATTACTTTCTGTGTGAAAATCAGAGTAAGTTTTTCTTAAGAAAATCTAAAAGCAAAAAAAAAAGTTAATTTAAACTTTTTTTTTTAGAACAACTTCCTGCTTTGGTAAAGATCATATCAGCTAGGGCCAACTCTCGAGCTCTTTTCCGCCTTGTAGATGGCACTTCCAATCCCAACGTTATTGACTGCCTCCATGGAATCCGCTGCATGTCTCTCATTTGGGTGGTTTTTCTACATGAACATATGTACTCTCTGATATCGCCAAACATCAACTTTACTTACGCGCTTGAAGTAAGTTTATGCCTTAGTATTTGCATTAACAACTCACTATAAAGTAAATATTTATAAACTTTTACAGTGGCTGGAGAAGCCCATGGCAAGTTTTTTCGTTCATGGTTATTTCTCAGTGGATTCGTTTCTCTTTATTGGTGGCTTGCTAGTGTCCATGACTGCTCTGCGTACCATGGAAAAGTAAGTAAACATATTTACTTATTTTAGTTTGATAATTTAATTTGTTAATTTGCTGCAGGACCAAGGGAAAACTAAATGTTCCAATGATGTATGTGCATCGTATTATTCGCATCCTTCCCGTCCTAGCTATGGCTATCTTGATCTACGTTAAGCTCATGCCAGTGGTCAGTGGTGGTCCTCTTTTCAAAAGTGGATTCCATGGCAAAGAGCAGTGTATCAATGGCTGGTACTGGGACTTGCTTTTCATCCAGAACTATGCAACGGAGAGTGTGGTTAGTACCTCTAATGGTGACCTATCTCTTTCAATATTAAACATACTTCCTTTCAGTGCCTCGATCAATCCTGGTATTTAGCAGTGGACATGCAACTGTATATCCTCTCCCCACTCCTCCTGATTGCCCTCTACAAATGGGGCAAGAAGGCGGCCTTTGGCATTGTTGTACTTGTGGTTTTGCTTTCTGGTTGCCTGTTTGCCACCCAGATGGTCAATCATTACTCGATGAGTATTAAGTATGTCCTTGAATAGACTTGATTTGACAGTCACTTTATTGAGACCTTTACTTTGCAGGAATGGCGGTGGCGATGATGAAGCCAATTCAAAGTTGTATTTGGCCACACATACACATGCTGCTCCTTGGCTGATTGGATTCCTGTTCGGCTACTTCCTGCACTTAAATCGTGGCAGGAAGTTCGAGTTGAGTCGTTTGGTTGTTTGGTCTGGTTGGCTCTTCAGTCTGGCCATGATCTTCACCTCGATCTTTGCCCTCTATCCATCTGGAAAGTGGAGTGCCCCCCCTCTGTCAACTGTGGAGGAATCTGTTTACTACACCTTCACTCGTCTGGCTTGGCCCTTGGCCATGTGCTGGGTGGTTTTCGCCTGTATGCAGGGTTATGGCAGCCTGGCCAACAGTTTTCTTTCCACTCCCTTGTGGCAGCCACTCTCTAGGCTCTCGTACTCCGTCTTCATTTGGCACATGTTCGTCCAGGAGGTTAACAGCCGGAATGTTAGGACCAGCACTTACTTCTCAACTTACACAGTGGTGAGTTATAAACTTCGTCGGAATTTAAATTTTTGGTCTTTAACTTATATGTCTATATCTTCGTAGATGCTCAACTTTTGGTCAGACTTTGGGATCAGTCTCGTCATGTCCTATGTTTTGTATCTGATTATTGAGGCACCAATCGGTGGTCTAGATGCTCTTTGGAGACCCACTGGCAATGTGAAACCCCCTTCTGCCGTTCAACCAATCCTAACTTCCGTTGTGGAGCACAAGACTAATGGTGATGAAGCCGAAAGTAAACTCGAGGCCCGAACTGATTAGCATTTTTATTTTTAGTTAGTTAAATTTTGTTAGCTAATCTATAAGTTGAATTGATAGTAAATATAAAAACATATTCAAGTAAACATTTTATATGGAAACAGATTTCTTAAGAATTACGCTTATTTTAAGGCAAAGAAGTCACTCAAGTTGAGATTATGAACATGAAGAGCGTTTACTTTAGCCTAAATAATAAACAATATCAAAGCTTTTCTTATGGAAATGTCTATTGTAGAACATAACCGGGGTAACCGTTACCCCACATTAAGTATTTCCTAATCGGCTGTCATATTTGCAGATAACGCTTATCTAAAGGTTGCCATTTGCCATATAAATCAGGGTATACGGTCTGAAAGCTTTCAATCGAAAGCGAATTATAATGGTTAACGTTATTAGCGTTTTATTGCTCTACGGATTGGTCGTAATTAGTGCCGGTACGGATTCTAATTCTGATGGCCGGAAAGAATACGAAAATCTTAAACAGCTTCGGCCGCTGGGAGTGGAATTTTCTGAGTACTTTCAAAATGTTTCACTGGAGAACTTCGGCTTCTCCGACTCCAAGATTGCTGGAGAAGATGACGTGATATGCCTGGCGCAGTTAGCAGCTCTAATGAATGGACTATCTTCCAGCCAGAAGTGGGCATTAAAGAGTGAGTGATTCCAAATAAGAAATTTCCTACAATAAAAGTGCTAATTTCGGTTTTCTATCAGTGATAGACTCTTGGGGTTCCATACCCTCTGGACTGTACACCGGCAATACCATTGACCTGGGAAACTTTGATGAATGCCTCTCAATAAGTCAAGTAATTGGGAAACAGAAAATAAGTGGAAAGTATTGCTTTCTCATAACCAGTGGTCTAAGAATTGCAACTTGCTTTCCGGCCTCATGTTCATCTACACAAATGGAGCCCTTTGTGAAGCAACTTTTAGAAAAGATACTTAACTTTAATACCTCCAGTTTAAATATGAAAATCAGTGACGAAACCTGTCAAACAAGTGAAATTGAATCTTGGGATGCATTGACTATTATCACCATGTAAGAAAGCTCGTAACGTATGACCGAAGTTGGTTTAACTTTTTTGATTTAAGTGTGATCTTGTCTGTGATGAATGTCCTTGTGATATTGGCTTCAATTTTCGATTACTTCCTGTGGGGGGATCAGAGTGAGTTCTTAAAGGATTGCTGTGCAGATAAGTTTTTAAGTCAATGTCTTATTTTTTAGAAAATATTCCAGTTGTGGTTAAGGCTTTTTCTGCCAGGGCCAATTCAAGGACACTCTTCCGTATTGTTCCGAACAAATCAAACCCAAACGTGATTGAATGCCTTCATGGCATCCGCTGCATGTCCCTCATTTGGGTTATCTTCTCCCATGAGTATATATTTACTTTAACCGCACCAAACATAAATACGGCTGAAATATGGTCGGTAAGTATAAGTTAACTTAAAATATATTTATAATTTTGTAATATATTTATTTTAGTGGGCCGTGAGACCCTTTGCCAGTTTTATACTACATGGATACTTCTCAGTAGACTCTTTCTTCGTCCTTGGAGGGTTGTTAGTATCCATGATTGCTTTACGTTCGATGGAGAAGTAGGTCTATCAAGTGTTTCGTAAAACCTATTCTAATATTGAAGTTCTTTGCAGATCTGGTGGAAAACTAAACCCTTTTCTGATGTATCTGCATCGGTTAATACGCATTTGGCCCGTCGTAGCAATGGCCATTCTTATCTATATGAGAATGATGCCAGTGATCAGTGGAGGACCAATGTTCAAGAGCGGCTACCATGGCAAGGAGTACTGCGAAAAGGGATGGTTCTGGACCCTGCTCTTCATTCAGAATTATGCAGTACTGGATATTGTGAGTATTGTAATATAATATGTAATCGTTAATCAGATTCGTCATGGTAACTACTAAGAGATAACCTGATAAATACTCTTATCAAAATGTTTAAATGATAATGGTTGATAATAATTAGATGGTAAATAATGATAGAGATTTTCTATTTATAATATTTTAGTGTCTGGATCACACTTGGTACTTGGCAGTAGACATGCAGCTTTTTATCATCTCACCAATCCTCTTGATTGCTCTTTACAAATGGGGCAAAAAGGCAGCTGCTGGGATTGCAGTACTTGTGGTTTTGCTATCCGGTTGCCTTTTTGTCACTCAAATGGTTAATAACTATTCGCTGCTTATTAAGTAAGAGTTCCCTGTTTAAGTCAAATGTTGTGTTTCTAATATATATCTTCACTGTTAAGAAATGGTGGTGAGGACGACGGGATTCCCAACCAAAGGCTGTACTTGGCCACCCATAACCATGCTGCCCCCTGGCTCATAGGATTCCTATTTGGTTATTTTCTTCATCTGAATCGTGGAAAAAAGTTCCAGCTGAGTCGACCAGTTGTGTGGTTGGGTTGGATTCTTAGCCTGGCAATGCTCTTCACCTCGATCTTCGCTCTTTATCCAGCAGCACAGTGGAGTGCTCCACCTCTGCCTGTTCTGGAGGAATCCCTTTACTACACCCTTACCAGAGTGGCTTGGCCATTGGCCATTTGCTGGGTGATCTTTGTTTGCATGCAGGGTTATGGTGGTTTGGCTAATAGTTTCCTATCATCTCCCTTGTGGCAACCATTCTCAAGACTCTCCTACTCTATGTACATTTGGCACATGTTCGTCCAAGAGGTGAACAGCAGAAATGTCAGGACTAACACATACTTCTCGAACTACTTTGTGGTAGGTTACATAAAAATATAAACAAAATACAAGTGATTTATAATTTTCCTTTAATTATTTCTTTAGATGGAACGCTTTTGGTCTGACTTAGGATATACAGCACTGATGTCCTACCTTCTGTACCTTCTCATCGAAGCTCCTTTATCTGGATTTGAAAGTTGTTTGCGGCCCCAAAGGTCATCCGCTGTTGCTAATCAATCGAATCTTATATCTCATAAGGAAGTTGAAGAGACGAAAGATCCCGAAGATTGTAAAGAGACTGAAACAAACCCAATGACTGTTTCCGATCCGCCCAAATAAAGCAAAAAGCACGAAAAGAATAAATATTAAAACCTTTTTGCAAACTATTTTCTTTAAGTGTTGGTTCATTAGCCGTTTTATAAAAGTTCAATATCAGGCGGCATGATAGTAAATCAACATAACGATTAACGCTTTTTGATAACAATTACTACTACCGAGAAGCTTAACTGATTGCTCATATCGGGGAAGTCGGCGAGCTTAAAATGCGAAATAAACTGTCTAGATGTCTACTGTTATTTCGTTCTAATCTTATCCCCAGATTACATATTAGACTTCTGCGAAATAAAACCGAAAACAGGTGCTATAATCGGTCAATCGAGCTAGAATGGCCAAAGTTGTTACTATTATTTTCTTCTGCGGAGTGGTTCTCGTTGCGGCCGCAGATCCTAAGGATATAGGTCTTTTAAAGCAGTTCCAGCGATTAAAGCAGCTTCGTCCACTGGGCATAGAGTTTGCAGAACACTATCAAAATGTTTCTGGCAAAGATTTGGACTTCAACTTTGATACAGCATTGCCAAGAGAAGGGGAATCAATGTGCCTGGCTGACATGTTACTACTGATGCAGAGTTTGTCAGCTGGAAATTATTGGGCAATGAAAAGTTTGTAAATTTATTAGAAATCGAACTTTCGTTTAACATTTACATTTTCAGTGATCGATTCATGGGGTTCCATTCCTTCGGGACTCCTGTATGGCAACTTTTATGATTTGGGCAACTATGATGAGTGTCTCAATATCAATAAGCAGATCTCAAGCAGTCATTCTATTCAAGGAAAGTACTGCTTTCTCTCGGCTTCGTTAGGCGGAGTACTTGGAATTCCTGCTTTGGATGTAAAGCCAGTCAATATAGCAACTTGCTTTCCTGCCTCGTGTTCTGCTGCCCAAATGGAAGGATTAGTGGGGAAACTTTTTCAGCAATTTTTTGGCTTAAATTCAAGCTTAAGTATAAATGAAGCCACTTGCCAGACAATAGATGGCAAGCCCTGGGATGGCTTGACAATATTTACTGTGTAAGTTTAACTAAAACCGTCACCTTTACAGAATATTCACTTTATACTTCACAGAGTAACCATATCCTTGATGTTTTCTGTCGTGACTTTCTTCACTCTATACGACTATTTTCTGTGTAAAAATCAAGGTGGGTATCCCAAAAATTGGCTTAGTTTTGGAGTTCATTTGAAAGTATCTTCTTTTTCCAGATGAACTTTCACCTCTAGTTAAGGCCTTCTCAGCTAGATCTAACTCCCGAGTTTTGTTTCGCATTGCTGAGAGTAAATCTAACCCAAATGTTATAGAATGTCTGCATGGCATCCGTTGCATGTCCATTATTTGGGTGGTTTACTCCCATGTTAACTTGTATTTTAGCACCATGCCAAATATCAATCTGGCACATGTGTATACGGTAAGACAATACGCTATTTAAATATAATTTTAATAATATTATTTTCCCTTCCAGTGGGTAGAGAAACCTTTCAGCAATATTATCCTACATGGTGTATTCTCTGTGGATTCATTTTTCTTTTTGGGTGGCTTATTGGTGGCCATGATTGCTCTGCGGTCAATGGATAAGTAAAATATTTTAAATGCATATATTTTTATCAATTTAAAGTAATTATTTTGTAGAACCAAGGGCAAACTTAATGCACCATTGATGTATCTTCATCGTTTGGTACGAATTCTACCCGTTTTGGGCATGGCCATCTTGATCTACATGAAGCTAATGCCCCTGGTCTCAGGTGGCCCTCTTTTTTACAGTGGCTACAGTGAAACCAAGTCTTGTGAGAAGGGCTGGTTTTGGACCTTGCTATTTATTCAGAACTATGCCACAACGGATATAGTAAGTTAGAATATTAACTACTCAGGAAAGTTACAAATTTTTACTATTTTCAGTGCCTTAGTCATTCCTGGTACTTGGCAGTGGACATGCAGCTGTATATAATCTCACCAATTCTGCTAGTCGCTCTCTACAAATGGGGAAAAAAGGCAGCGGCAGTTATAGTTTTGCTTATTGTCCTGCTATCTGGTTGTCTGTTTGCCACAATGATGATTAACCATTACACTTTTCTGATCAAGTATTTATTAGTCTAAAGGATTATTGGTTAAAGTCTTTTAATCAGTTTGTCTTCTCCAGGAAAAAAAGTGGCAACGATATGGCTAACCATAGGCTTTATCAGTCCACCCATAGACATGCTGCTCCCTGGCTGATTGGCTTCCTGTTTGGCTACTTTTTGCATCTTAATCGGGGCAAAAAGTTCCAGCTGAACAGATTGACAGTGTGGTCTGGATGGAGTATGTGCCTAGCCCTGTTCGGAACATCTCTTTTCGCTCTTTATCCGGCATCCAAGTGGGGTGCTCCAGCGTTGTCCACTTTGGAGGAGTCCCTATACTACACCCTCACTCGATTGGCTTGGCCAATTGCTTTATGTTGGATAGTATTTGCCTGTATGCAGGGTTATGGTGGTCTGGCTAATAGTTTCCTGTCATCTCCACTGTGGCAGCCACTTTCCAGGCTCTCTTACTCCGTTTACATCTGGCACATGTTCATCGTGGAGGTGAATTGCAAAAACGTTAGAACGAGTACTTATTTCTCGGACTACACAGCAGTATGTTTTATCCTTACTTTAGTGTTGAAGTTTATTATTACTAATTTATATATATTTTCTTATAGATGCTGAAGTTTTGGTCTGATTTTGGCTTCACTGTTATAATGTCTTATGTGTTTTACCTTATCATAGAAGGACCGTTGGCAGGATTTGACAGTCTTCTGAAAACAAAAAACAAACCTAGCGTAGATAACGTTAGAGCTTCTTCCAGTACAAAGAAGACAACTGAATAAAAGAGAGATCGTATATTAAGAATACAAATATTATAAAAATAATATAATAATATATAATATTTAAGACACATTAAGAGATATTTTAATTGGAAATCAATGAATGAATGAATCCCAAAGGTGATCAAATCAAAAACAATAAAAACAAGAGTGATATATAATTTTGGCAAAAGTCAAATAAAAACCATCTTAAATAAATTTCAATTCAAGATTTGTTGGCTCTTCATTAACTTGGTTCATTTCGGTTGTTTACCTTTTTATATCCTCTAATTTACAAGTACTGATAGGTGTATCTAAATCCAAGCAGAAAGTTCCCCCAAGTTCTGAAGGACTTCGATCTAATCTTTATTGATGAAGTGAATTCTATTGAAATTATAATGAGTTTATAAATAGGATCCCTGGAAACATTGATGAACTGTCGCCAAATGATTATAAAATTAGGAAGTCACAATGACCGTCTGTGTTGTTGACAAATTTATTACTTATCAGTGATTATGATAAGACCCTAAATGGCCCACTAAGTACTACGGAATACGTAGTAATTCAACCCTATCGGTCGTTTTCATGGGAATTATACTTCTTTCGGCTTTTTTTAATGACTTTGACGAGTGGCAACTTTTTTGTTACTATCGTAGGTTTTGCTTATCACAGCTGATTGAAAATATTTACTAATTTTATTACCAAAGTTGGTAGCCATGGTTGAGTTATTAACTCTCTAGGTGATTAACCGAATCTAAGATAAAAGATTCGAAAACCGTAAGAGAAAAATCTGTATCTGCTGGCCTTAAAGATAGTACAAAGGATATTTTAAGATCGCGGCTGTCGATTATTATTGCTCTGTTTATTTGGATTAACTAACGATTCTCTTGAAAAGATTCAACAAGCCCCTAACTTCACAACTTACTTGTACAAAAATCTCAAGAGCCGGTGCTCTTGGAAATGTTTGACAATCTAAGAATCGTTGTTTATCGCCAGGTGGTTTAATTCTGAATAAACTACGGCTGATAGTCACTTCAGCGGAATTAAACCTTTTATGACTCGATTAGTTCGCAGCCACTCTGTAATGGTATATAATAATAGGTTTAAACGTTGTTTGTGACATTATTTTAAATTCTTATTAAAAAATTAAATGTACAATATGTATGGAAATAGTGTTGGGTAAGCCGCTGAATATATATAAATTTCTAGATAAATATTCAATACATACTTTGTCCGTTATCTATAAGAGAAATGAAAAATCTTACATAAAATGTTTAAATGCATCGAATATATGCTCATTGGGCAGTATATTTTAGTCGGGACTCTATGAAAACCTTTACCTTTTTTACTATCGCGATGATTACTTATCTCTAGTATATAAACACTGCCGGTTTGCTTAGGAGTAGACAATACCAATTCAGTTAGCATGGTCAAAGTATTGAGTTATATTCTGCTTAGTGGGCTAGTCCTAGTTAGCTGTTTAAGGCCTGAGGACCAAAGTGTCCTTCGGGATATTCAGCACCTTAAAAATCTCAGGCCACTAGGTACTGAGTTCGCCGAATACTTCAAAAATATAACCCAAAACGGTTTAAGTCCTTTGAATTCCCGATTGTCAGCTCGGGAAGATTCGTGCCTTAGTGACATGTACAGCCTTATGTTGGCTCTTCGAAGCGGCCAATTATGGGCAATGAAAAGTTAGTTGGCTAGTGGATCTGTTTGATTACATAAATTGTAACTGATGCATTGTAATTATCAACAGTGATTGACTCATGGGGTTCCATACCCTCAGGCATATTTACGGGTAACGTATATGATTTGGGAAACTTCGACGAGTGCCTGAAAATCAAAAAGGATACCATACAAGGAAAATATTGTTTCTTAGAAGTGAACCCAGGTAAATTGCTGGGCGTTGAAAGTGCACTGGCAGGCATAGTGAAAATGAAAATTGCAACTTGTTTTCCGGCTTCCTGTTCGGCCAGTTACATTAATGGTTTTATAAATCAAATTTTGAATGTGAATATGTCCAGCACAGCCTTGAGTATCAGTGACAGTACTTGCCAAACCTCTGAAAAAGAACCCTGGAATGCTTTAACCATTTTAACAATATAAATTAGATTGATAATTATAATTTACAGATCAGCTGCCCAGGATTGTCAAGTTGCTTTCTGCCAGAGCCAATTCCCGAGCTCTTTTCCGCGTGGTGGAAAATAAATCGAATCCAAATGTCATCGAATGCCTTCATGGTATTCGTGGGATGTCCCTCTGCTGGGTGTTGTTCCTTCATCAATATGCGAGCATATTTTATTCTCCAAATATTAATCGATTTAGTCTTCTCTCGGTAAGTTTATGAGTATAAAGTTTTGAAAATATTTAGTAAATAACTTATATTTTCAGTGGATTCAAAGACCTTTCGCTAGTTTCTTTTTGCAAGGAACTTTTTCAGTCGATTCGTTTTTCTTTATCGGCGGGTTGTTGGTTTCTTTGATTTCATTGCGATTAATGGAAAGGTAGGATTATAAATGTAAACTATAATATTTTTAATAATTTGTTTTCTTATATCAGAAACAAAGGCAGATTTAATGTGCCTATGATGTATCTTCACCGCTTGATCCGCATTCTCCCCATTTTGGCCATGGCTATTCTAGTCTACACCCAACTTACGGGTGTTCTTGTGGATGGTCCACTTTTCATTGGTGGATCCCATGACAAATCGTCATGTGCAAAAACCTGGTATATGACCTTGCTGTTTGTGGTTAACTTCGCCGATGATATGGTAAGTGCAGGATATCTCGAAAGGAGATCATCTTTAACATCTATTTTTTAGTGCCTCGATCATACCTGGTATCTGGCGGTGGATATGCAGCTCTTCCTCATCTCTCCAATCTTTTTGTTTGCTCTCCATAAGTGGGGAAAGAAGGCTGCTGCTGGAATTTTCGTTTTGATAGTTTTGCTATCCGGTTGCCTGTTTGCCACCATGATGGTCAACAACTACTCAATAAAGAAGTAAGTGATCTTCTTGCATGAAATATATGAAAAGTTTTTAACCTCCCATTCCCTAGTCTTGATCTAACTTTACAAAAGCAAATGTACTTCTACACGCATACCCATGCCGCTCCTTGGCTGATTGGATTTCTGTTCGGTTACTTCTTGTACTTGAACAAGGGAAAGCAGATCAAGTTGCACTGGGTAGCTGTTTGGTCGGGATGGATTCTTTGCCTGGCCATGCTCTTCACTTCGATCTTTGCCCTCTTTCCGATAATGGACTCAGGCAAACCATGGCTGGCAACCACTTTAGAGCTTTCATGTTTCTATACACTCACCCGAGTGGGATGGCCCATGGCTATTTGCTGGGTTGTCTTTGCCTGTATGCAAGGATATGGCAGTCTGGCCAATAGTTTCCTCTCCTCACCGCTGTGGCAACCACTTTCAAGGCTTTCGTATTCCGTGTATATGTGGCACAGTTTTATCCAGGGGATAAACCAAGGGATTGCAAGGACAAATACATACTTCTCGAATTATCAAGTGGTAAGTTTATAGGTCTTAAAGTTTATTTCTATGTCACCGATTTTATTACCATTTTCAGATGCTTGATTTCTGGTCAACCATGGGATTCACTGTACTGTTTTCCTACTTACTGTACTTGCTGATTGAGGCGCCTATTGGTGGTCTTGACATTTTCTTACGCCCCCAAAAGAAGCCATCTGCAGAAATCAAACCGATCAAAGATGATTCAGAGCCAGTGCAGGAGACCCAGATCGATGATGTTGACTCAAGCAAACCAAAAGAACTGGAAGCCACTGACTTAAATTCTCAAACATCTCCTGATTAGATTGTGAAATTTGGAAAAGCAATAAATTTGCACGAATTTGAATCAAAAGAATCGATAACCCCATGATGACTATTCCTTCCATGTGCTTGAAGAGTATTAGATTATTCCACGAGTCCACAGGAGCAAGTGTCACGTGAATGCGATAAGGTTATTTTGAATAATCCGCGATCTTGATATCATCTTAATCTACCCAGTATCTATTGACACCAACTCTTTAAGTATTGATTAAAAAATTAATACTGATAGCCACCGAGAACGATTAGCTTATCTGGCGTTTGCAATAGAATTTAACATCATATGACTAATGTCACACTTTTCTTGGTAGACGCTCCTTATCTCCAGCTAATTCGCGTATAAAAGGGGTTCTGCTTTCGAATAGAGACCATTAATAGGACGTCAGCCATCATGGTAAACATCGTCGGAGCTTTGTTCTTCTGCGGGCTTGTCCTTATCAGTGCAGAAAAACTGAAGGATGAAGATGTCCTGCCGGAGTTTCAGCGATTCTCGCAATTGAGATCCTTTGGACTTCAGATTGCTGGACATTTACAAGATGTGGATGTGAAAGATTTAAGTGTTGGGGACTCCCGATTGCCAAGTCAACAGGATTTACTGTGTCTCAGTGACTTGACTGCTTTGATAACGGGATTACAAAGTGGTCAATATTGGGCATTAAAAAGTAAGTGATCTTTGAACCCAAATTTAGAACCTTTTTAATGACTGTATTACCATAGTGTTTGATGCATGGGGTACCATACCCTCTGGTTTACTAACCGGCAATAGCTATGACTTGGGAAACTTTGACGAGTGCCTTAACATCCAAAGAGAAACCACCCTGGGCAGGACTATCCAAGGAAAGTACTGCTTCCTCTCAGTGTCCCTAACCCAAATGCTGGGACTCAATATTCCATATCTGGGAACCTTCAAGACGGCCACTTGTCTGCCGGCCTCTTGTGCGGCATCCCACATGAACACATTTGTGGGTCAAATGATGAAACAGATACTGAATGTCACCATACCTTCCTCAGCAATGAGTATCAGCGATAGCAGCTGCCAGACAAACGAAAGTGAGCCCTGGGATGGACTCACCATTTGTATGATGTAAGTGTGCGAAGTTCTTAATCAGTTTTTGGCTAACACTTGAGATTGCAGAGTGATCTTATCGATAATGGGTTCACTAGTAGCTTTGTTTACCTTGTGGGACTACTGTCTGGTGAAGAGTCAAGGTGAGTAAGCAGAAACTTATCATTCCGATGGAAAATTAACAATGATTTGTAACCATTTCAGATCAGCTTCCAGTTCTGGTTAAGGTGTTCTCGGCGAGAGCTAATTCCCGTGCTCTCTTCCGTGTTGTGGAAAGCAAATCAAATCCTAATGTGATTGACTGTCTACATGGAATCCGCTGTCTCTCTCTCATTTGGGTGATCTACTGCCATCAATATGTTATGGCTCTGCTTTCTGCAAACTTGAATATTTTCCATTTTGTATCGGTAAGATAGACCCTAATGTTTTATGAAACAGAAGTTGATAAATTAAGAACTTTTCAGTGGGAAGAGACAGCCTATGCCAGCTTCATTCTACATGGCTTCTTCTCAGTAGATTCCTTCTTCGTGCTCGGCGGTTTGTTGGTGGCTATGATTCCCTTGCGATTAATGGAAAAGTAAGTTAATATTTTTGTCTCCTTTTATTATTTTTTTGTATTAATTTATTATATTTCTTTCTAGGAACAAGGGCTCTCTGAACGTACCTCTGATGTACCTACATCGGATAATCCGCATTGTTCCCCTCCTGGCAATGGCCATTTTAGTCTCTTTGAAACTTATGCCAATGATAGTAGACGGACCACTTTTTGCTGGTGGATACTCGGGCAAAGTGGGCTGTGAGAAGGAATGGTATTTCACTTTGCTCTTTGTAAACAACTACTCCGAGTACTCGGTAGGTTCTGGTCATTTACATTATGAAACGATGTAATATCTTATTTCGTTCTATTTTTAGTGCATTGGTCAATCCTGGTATTTATCGGTGGATATGCAACTATTCATCATCTCCCCGATCCTGCTGTACGCTGTCTACAAATGGGGCAAGAAAGGTGCTGCTTGTATTTTGGTTCTAATAGTTTTGCTTTCCGGCTGCCTCTTTGCCACCATGATGGTCAACGAATACTCTTTGCTGTTAAAGTAAGTTAAATATTCGGTAAATAAGTTGAGTTTTCAATAACCTTATTACTTTCCAGGAACTTTACTTTGGGTGCCCAGAAGGATTTGTATTATGCTACCCACACACATGCCACGCCTTGGCTGATAGGATTTCTCTTTGGCTACTTCCTGCACAAGACTAGGGGCAAGAAGTTCGAGCTGTGTTCGGTAGCCGTGTGGTCAGGATGGATCCTCTGCTTAGCCATGATCTTTACCTCGATCTTTGCCCTCTACCCTTCGGCAAAGTGGACTGGTAATGACTTGTCCACCTTGGCGGAAGCTTTTTATTACACTTTCACCAGACTGGGCTGGTCCATGGCCATTTGCTGGGTGGTCTTTGCCTGCATGCAAGGGTATGGAGGACTGGCCAACAGTTTCCTCTCCTCCCCGCTGTGGCAACCACTCTCTAGGCTGTCTTATTCCGTGTTTATTTGGCATATGTTCATCCAGGAGGTGAATGCCAGAAGTATGAGAACGAATTCGTACTTCTCCGATTACAGAATTGTAAGTTTTAAAAAGTTGCCGTATTTCCTTTACTATTAAACTATCTCTTTTGCAGATGCTCAACTTCTGGTCAACCTTTGGTATCACCGTGCTTTTTGCCTATGTAATGCACTTGCTCATTGAGGCACCTTTCGGTGGAATTGACCATTTCCTGCGACCGCGACAAAATAGTCCTCCTATTGTTGAAAAGAAATCACAGATAGATGAAAAGGCACCTGGTAACTTGGAAGAGCTGAAAGTAACAACACCAGTTCCTGTTTCGGAGTAGGTGTTAAATTTTGTTGAATTTCAATTAGTTTTACGTAAATTATACGTTAAATTTAAGTAAATAAATGTATTTTAAGGTTTCATACACAGTAACTTGATTACTTCCCCATTTTTATGGCCTACTTGTAGTTGGCCGTGCTCCTGGCTGAGCAAGACATTTATCTACGACTCCTCCGCTTCCTGCTGATGGTGATTCACCCACATCCGAACTCCTCCCACGTCACTTCTTTGGTTGCATGTCCCGTGTAAATTTCAGTCTGGAAACAAATGGAGAACTTCTTGACTCGCGTCGACTTCGCTTAGTCCGATGCCATAAACTACGTGGCCATTGCCACTGCCAGTGCAACTCCAAACACTCCAACTGCAACTGCACTGAGTGTCTGCCTGGCCTGGTCTGGCATGGGCTTGTGCCTGGGTCTGGGCCGACAAACCGATCTGGATCCGGATCCGAATTCGAATTCCCACTGCGCATATTTTATGGCAGTTACGCGGCTGGCGGGCAACTTAATTAGTGCCTGCTGGTGCGCTTCGACTCCGGGTTCGACTTCCACATTCACAGCCCCATACCCATATCCATACCCATATAGCCACTTCCATTTCCACTTCCACTTCGATTGCGCCAGGGACAGCTGCAATGCACCTGACATTTAACATTATTACGCGGCGCCTCCGCCGAATACCGAATGAGAATGAGAATGAGAATGAGTTGGCGGCCATTACAGGCAGCGCCTTAAAGTGGCATTTCGGCGCTATTCGCGTTTAAGCGGTGTTAAGCTTAATGTGCACCACATTGACACCGCCAGTACATGGTAACCCGCATGGAGCATGTGACTCCGACTTTCCGATGGCAGTGCTGCCAATTTCATATCACTGAAAAAAGGAAGGTTTTCCTTTGAAGTATTTGAACTTTTTTCCTTTGATTAAGAATTTATTTTTAAATATTTGTAAACCGCAATGACTCATCATGATTGCATATTCATAGACCAGGCTCTATATATACTTCCATAATAAAGCAATAACCTTTAAAGAGCATAAGAAAGTTGGCCAGACTGCTTGCTTGGTTGCCTGAGTTGCATTAACGTTTTGTGACTGCGCCAAGGGTTGCGTGTTCGATTGCAGTTGCTTGCATTTAATGGGTTAAGGCACACTTCTGTGGGAGTAGCGGGCCACTTACGATTCATTGAATTGCCCCGACTCCAGTTGGCCACAATTGAAAATCGATCTGGCTTCGTGTTTCTGCTGTTTTCGGTGCATCTCTTAATGGAGACCCAGCTAGCTGGAGGAAGTCTACAAATATTTTTGTTTAACTATAAGTCTCCTGAAATAAGCTGTAGTAATATGCTGGGCAAAGGACAGTAGTATCCTTGGAGAGGCGCCTTTTGACAGGACTTCCAATTAGCAGGAGTCAACTGTTCATGTAAACATTTCCCGATTTAACTTTCGGAGCTCTGCCGCTTTGCCAGAGCAAAGAACAAAGTACAAAGAACTTTTGTGCACATTTGTGTTTATTATTGTATAAATCAAAAGATAAAGTTGCACACAAAGTTCCTGTTCTGCTGGGCTCTGCTCCTGCCCCTGCTCCTACTCCTGCTCTCTCTGCCTGGTAAGCCCGGGATTCGGTTGGTTAGGTTCTCCTGGCTGGACGGGGTGTCCTCCGGGTGCTCCATATCCTCCTCGCTCCTTCGTGTCCTGTTTGCATGCGGAGGCGCAGTACGTAAACTAAACGAAGTGCACAAACACAAACACATACACACTCACACGTACACACACTTGCATGTTGGGAGAGTCGTGCATGTTTGTGGCATTATAAAATATATCTGGGCAACAACAATGGCTGCTCCTTCTCTTGGCTCTGCCCAATTTCAAAGTTGGTAATGGCAAAATGGCGATCTGGCTACCTCAGCTGGTTGCCCCCGTTGTTGTTGTTGTTGTTGTTATTGTTGTTGTTGCCACATTTAAATGCCAAACTTCACCGGACATGCTTCATAGCTCTAATTATACATGCGCCTTCCTTGGAACGCCTTCCGTTATTCGGCCAAAGGAAAAAATACAATATAGCCAAAGGAGGAACAACAATGGAGCCCAAAGAGCAATGGCTCTTGGTATTGTTGTTGTTCTTTTAGCTGAGACTGCATTGTTGTTTGGTTTTGTTGGCCCTCTGCCAACGGCCAACGCGTCGTATGCGCAACGTGCCCTGCTATTTTTCTAACCACATCTAAACACTTACAGTTCTACACAGAATAATAGTTCTGAGACGTTTTGAAAGCAAATTACTTACTTATTTTTCCCGAAAGAATGGGAAATGTTTATGAAATTTGAATTTACAGAAATAACAGCTTGGAATTCATATATAAAAGTAACTAAAAGTTGTGTAAGTCTAGAATTATTACCTTTACCCTTATTACTATGACTATTATTTTGACCACATTTGCACATGACTGATTGCCAACAGTATGGGTGTATTGATATATATGTGTATTAGTGTGTGAGGGAGACAGCGACTTTGGCTTGAGTAAAAACCTCCAGAGAAGTTTGCATGTCTGTTTAGTAATTCATGGAAAGAAGGGAGAGGAAGGCCCGTCACTCTTTTGATTTGATTAGTAGCCACACACACACACACTCACACCCACAAGGAAATAAAACAAAATTTATGCAAATTCTGGCATAAAATATGGCATTAAAATTTAATGTGCAACTCACGGGCACGCCAATCCAAATCGGTAAAAAAAAAATGAAGTCATTATGCTGAAGCCAAAAATTATAGACTAGCTAATAAGCCGCTGACCCTCAATGACCAAAATGAATACAATTGGCTGGCTAAAAACTTTCATTAACAGAAAAGCATTAGCATATTTGTTCGGCGGGTCCATTTTTTTATAAATCACTTCATTGACATTTTTTACGAGGCGTCAAATCGGCGGCTGGGGAGTTTGCTGGCAAACTTTCCGAGAACAAAACATGTCCAAAGTCTGAGAAAATGTCTGAGCCTGCGGGCGTTGTTGTTTCTAGGGATGGTTGGAGTTGAGGCCCATGGCCCAAGTCCCATAGCCCTTGGCTAAGATTGACGCGCCGCTTACGTGCCACGGAACCATTTGTCTTAGGGCCGCACTTTGCGTGTCTTAATTAGCGCCCCACCGCCTTCCATCGAAGGAAGAGGACTCATTCTCCTTTGGAAAACAAAACCCCAAGAAACTTTGCCGACGCCAAGTCGAGCCTGGAATTTATGTATCCCAGATAAGAGTCCAGTGATAAGACTATGGATCCCAGGGCCTTGGCCTGTCTTTGCCCTGAGTTATTATTGAAGACGCGACATGCTAATGAACTCGCCAAAAAGGAATGGGCTCTAAGTAGGACACTAAAGAAAGTTTTCATTGTATTTTGGGGCCAAGAAAAACTTAATTAACCGTGTTGAGGTTTTCACTTTCTAACGTGAGAGTAGATTTAGGTAGGAGAAAAGGTAGATATATATTCCTAAGTTCCAGTGGAATTTGAAATAAGTTCTTAAGCTGAAAAGCTAGGAATTAAAATGGTTTTTGGGTGACCTTAACATGGTCAAGCTTAGTGAAACCAAAACCGATTGTCTAATTTAATATTTATGGGGAATAATGTCTGTTAATTTAAATCCTTTTGTTGGAAAAAATTGTTATTAAATATTAAATGACAATATTACCCACAAAAACTTTCAAATCAGATTTAAATAGGTCAAACTAAAGTTTCTAGTTAAACTAGCTTACCACCCATAAAACATGTCATATTGATTCATTAATTTCTTTAAAGATAATAGCATGACTTGCTTGAAAAAATGGTTATATATAATGAGGTCACTGCATATATATAATATATAAATATTATCGTTCTGTGAAAAGTACGGTCTAGCTTTAGTGTCCAGTGAAAATCCGCCTTTGTGTTGTTAATGAAACTTTAAGCCTTCAGTTCCAGCAATGTTTCTGGCCATTGTCCCGGCCTTCATTGGATATTCGCGGGGTCAGGTGGACAGCTGGTGGCTGATAAAGCCCAGTGAATGCTAATTAAAGCCTCGCACTCCGCTCGAATGTTACGCCTCTGGCTGAGCGTATGCAAATCGTGTAAATCAGAGAGTTTAGTGCCACTGGCCACTGGCTACTGGCCGTGTCCCGCCATAAGCTGCCATATTTAGTTAAGTAATCAGGATTTTTGTGGGTGGATGGCCTGCTTGTTGGCCGTGGCTGAGGGCGTGGCTGCAAGGGGTTCAAATTGTTGACTGGGACAACAAAAGAGTTTTCCGCCCGGAGGATTGAGGTGACTGAGGGGGGGCTCCAGTATTTTGTCGATGACATTGTCCTTTTCCCCCTTAGCTGATGTTGCTGCTGCTGCCAATGTTGGTGTCGGGGTTGTTGCTAGTTGTAGTTGTGTGTATATTATTATGTCGACAGGACTCCCTCCAGTGTCTGAGGACACACACTGCCTTGTCCTGGGCCGTGTCCTGCCATTGTGGCCGGCATGTGGTGCTCGTTAAATGCTAATTGCCGCATACTTGTAACCACTTTATGTGGATGCCTTTGAGCAGAGGGTCTCTGTCCTGCCCCCCTACCAGCAAAAATAAGGGGTGCCTGGCTAATTGAAACAGTGCACAACCTCAACCCAGCATTTTGCAGCGAAGCTGTCCGAAAACTATTACCACATTTCGCGGCCATCAATCAAAGGCTTAATATCCGCGAGCCACGGCCTCGGCCTCCCTTGTCAGTTGAATGAGCATGTCAGTGCCAGAGTGGCGTAGAGCCCAAGTGCCAGAGAGCCGAAGAGCCAGAGAGAGACGGCACAAAGTGCATCATTCGACCGCTAATTTGGGCCGTAAATAGGAGACCCACTGCAGTTTCCAGCTGACCTCCTGTTGGGTCACAAAACGCCTGCCTCTCGAAACTTTGGTATTCATAACGTAACGAGCCAGTTTCGCATGCAAATGTCACCAGTGCTGCGGGGGAGTTAAGTGGGTGGTTGAGGGGTTGGTTGGGTTTCCGGATGTGTTGCAAGATCATCATGGCATATGTGACCTATGCGAAGACGAACCCACTCGATTCCGGTTTTCGGCATTTCGAGAGCGAAACCTCATTAGGAACGGCCTGCTCCTCCTGCTCTGCAACTGGCAGCTCTCATTTTAGCATTTATCGTTCCGTTTTTCGATGACCAAAAAGGCCAGAAGGCCAGGAGTATAGCTGGCCAGCAGGCGAGCTCTCTTAATTACCGAACATCGGCCAAATGCGTTTTTCTATTGGAAGCCGTTCGAGGCGGCAGTTCATCAGCCTCCGTCTCTCAATTTGCATAATTTCCAGAACGGCAGCTCAAGTGGTGGCTCTGATTGTGGTGGCTCATGACTTTCATATGCTCGGCTCGGCATGGCTCGGGCAGCCATTTACCCAATTTGTTGGGCAGAATTTATTTGTATAGTCCATGTCAAGGATGCTGATGGTGATGTGATTCCATCGTGGGTGGGCATGAAATACTCGAAATGACATTACGGCCCGTGTTCGACGGCTACGAGGCTGGGTGGCTGGCAAATGGAATCAATATTATGCAAATAGCCAAAGTGGTCAGAACAGGCCAGCCACCTAGCCACCCAACCAGTGTCGTCCCAGCCATTTCATTTCTGCATTTCAATCGACGAGAAAATGATGGCAATGGCATATTATTTTGCTTCATTCCATTTCATTCGTTGTGCAATAAAGTGCATTTTGATTTGCCTTTAACAGGCATCGAGAGTGGCGTAATAAATTATGCATGGCAATGCATGGACAGTGTTTTAACGATTTTTTCTTTGCTTGCTTTTGTTGTTATTATTGTTCTCAGCAAGCCAGTTGATTTCACAAATCAATGCTGAAAAGTTTCTTGAAAAATATTTACTCAAAAAATTGCACTCATTCGCGGCCAGTCGGCCATTGGTCATAAATTGCCATCTGCCAAGTGCCCACTGATCACCATCTTTCAGCGCTGCCTTTTTGATTAAGTGCTTGTGGTAGGAGCGCACCTTTTCTTCATTTTTTTTTTTTGCACATGCCATGCCCACTTCCTGGGCGGCAACTTGGGGGCTGTCAGAAAGTTCGCTGCACTCATTAATCAGCCGCTGTGAGGAAACTAATTTAATGCAACTTAAATCAAAAGCAATTGTTGTTTTAGCCCGCTGCAATTTAGTCAGCCACTTCCGCACGCACCTCGCTCTGGCAAGGGTTGCTGAACTGGGTGATTGGGTGGTACCATAGGCTGGGTGGTCCTGTCTGACCCCTGCCAATTGACGCGTCATAACTTCCAACACCATCGCTGTGAGGCTAACGCCGCGCCCAGTTGAGTGCAAACTAAATTTATCAGCTATGCAATCGCGGGCAATAAATTTTTTCTCTCCCCTGCCATTTCACCTCCCCCAACCAACTGGCCACGCCCACTGTCCCGTCAAACCCAAACATATGATGGCTGATTTGTTGTATTTGTGTACACGGAAACTACAGCCATAGTCAAGCTTAAAAAGGTTTTTGTGTTATGAAAATCCAATATTAGTCATTAAAAAATACCAATCCCTAAAACGATTTTGATTTCAATTTTCAATATTTTGATTTCAAATAGAAGTGAAATTCTTTCAGTGTAGCCCTTTGAGCCCAGACATTTAAATAGCGCCGCTTATGCAATGCAAGGCACTCATAAATCTTAACCAAACTGGCCAAGTGCAGAAGCAGATTAGATTGGCCGCCGTGGGTGATGGTGACCAGTTGTTGGGTGGACGGTTCGGCAGGTGGGGTTCGATTCCTTCAGGGGGAGGCTTAGTCAAGGTAAACAGATCGCGCTTGAATTGCCGCGGGCCACGCATGAATACCATTTTGGCCCGAACCATTTGCGTGTGACCGCCCTTTGGGTTGCCTTCCTTCCTCCATCCACCAAGGAGGGAAAAACACATCCCACCTACTATACTCGTTTCTCCACTGTTTTTATTTCGGTTTTAGCTTTGTGAAAGTTTTTTGCGTGCATTTCTATTTATGTGCCGCGCATAAAGTTTAGTGCGCCATCAAAATGTTGGCCAAGAAGAACAAGAGCCGGCTACAATGGCACATATAAAAGCGAACCGAGTTGTGTTAGCCGGCAGCGCCTAAAAGGCTGCACGCAATTTTTTCATTCACCGCAATTCCGTGCGTGCCTCTCTCTCTCTCTCTTTGTGTGTAAGTGTGTGTCTATGTGTGCACGTGTGTGAGAATGTGGCTGCGGCTGTGTACGCGCTGCGGTTTGTTTGCATACAAAATTTGTACGTGTTATTTTAACTTCGCCGCTTTTATGTTCTATATATATAATTTTTTGTATCTTCTTTGTTGGCCCTGCAGAGGCAACCACGATTTTAACACCTCTGCAAAAGCGGGGGGGGGGGGTGAAATGTAGAAGAGGAAGAGTGGAAACTTTGGTCCTTCAGGTGTTAATGTCTGCTATACGGCCCGTGTGCGTGTAGGAGATAACATTTCCGTATCCGGTTGCGTATCTCTGTGAGAATCTGCAGGCAGCGCGCAAAATAAGAAGACAACTCGGTGTTTGCTTTCACATTTATATTTGTTTAAACACTCTGGGGGGTGGACATAGGGGGTGGAGTCGGGTTCTTGTCATATTCATTTATTGTATACATATACATATCATCATATATAGTAGTTATATCTTTCGGGAGCTTTTATCCCTTCAGTATTGCTACAACAGAAGGGTTCGGGGGAGGGGAGGTTGAATCTTTTCTGGGTTTACAGTTCGGCTACTACTTAAACACCTAGCTTATGGTACTAGTTTAGCAAAGGTTCTTAACATTTACAGATATGACACATATCCAGGTTCTCTTTTATACAGTTCATACAACTAGGATGTGCGGCAACCGAAAGAAACTGTCTCAACTCTAACCGGAGAGAGAGCTATTAGTAATTGATCCATCAACAATATAATTTCATTTCGAGCTTCGTTCTCTCTTACGGACTTAATTTACAAAACTAAATACAATTGGAAATACTTTTCAGAGTCAGGAAGCAAATACTTGCCAGAATCGTAACTAAAAGAGGGGAAAAGAGCACTTTTCCAGCATACTTTTCCCCTTTTTGTGTGTGTTTTTATTTTTTTTTGTTCGTTTTCATTTTCGTTTTTTTGCAATTATGTAGTTTTAGCATCTGTTATGGCAAAGTTTCCAGCTACTATTCGAAATTGATGCCACTCAGACATTATTTGACAAAAGTCCAAAGTTTGTCCTAGACTTTGTCGTTACCATTCAAGTATTTACACAGAAATTACGCACAACGAACCCTTTAGCTGGGCTTGATTTTCGGAGACGATGGGCATAGGGGGGATATGTCATATATATGGGATTGGAATTTAGTTACTTAACAATTTTCCTAATTGAATTCTCTCTTTGTGTGTGTGTGTGTGTGTGTCTGTGCGTCTCTGTCTCGCTTTTTGCACAGGAGTTTTTGTCGAGGCGGAGTTGGTCCTCCCTCTTTCTGCCTTTAATACTATTTAACTCGTTTCCCCTTCGCGTTGCTTAATGATTTTTACATGCTATAACACATTTACCCAATTTGTCTGTTTTTTGTTTTTCCTATTTTTGTTTTCCTTTCCCTTCGCTTAAGAACTAAGGATATTACACTTAAAGTATACAAAATCACCATTTATGCTCTGCAATTGCAATTGAATTGAATTGAAATGAATGCTTGTTAATTGAAACGAGTCGTGCCGAGGGGTGCCGGCCATCTTCGAGGACGACTGGCTTAAGTCAGCTCCGAGCCAAGTAGCCACTGACCGGTTCTGGCCAGAATGATGGCGATGGTTAGTGTTCGCAGGAAACTGCTCTCCGAATGACCAGCTGCACCTTTCACTGAGGGGAATAAAATAGCAAATAGGGAAAAAATAGCGGCGAATTGAATTAGTAAGGAACTCGTTGGTAGCTCCATGAGGTCACTCACCCAGCAACATGGCCTCGCGGTTGTCGATGATCCCCGGCCGCCGCTGCAGGACGCTCTCCTTGCCGCCCTTCCACAGGACCGGCGATATGCTGGCCAGGCACTTGACGCGCATGTCGCCGTCGTGGAAGTGACGCGGCTCCAGCGGCAGCTGCAGGCCCAAAGTGGAGGTGATTAGCCCGTGTTTGTGCACGATGTCGTTGTATTTGTGCAGGTAGTGCTCGTCGAGGATCTGAAAGGAGTCGATGGAAAGCTTAAATGATACACTGGGGGAAAGTAACTAACAGAAAATGTTTATCTTTCTTTGGAACACCTAAAGTTGTAGTCCCTAGAGAGCGTTTAACAGAAGTTAAATTGGTATACCGAAATAATAATTAAATCTTTCAGACTTCTCTTCTCTGATTTCGGTTAACATTCAAGCAGATAATCCTTTGAGAGTCTCTTTAAGTATAAATTAAATATGAACCTGAGTTGGTGTTAGGAAAATAAATATTTAAATTGGCCAACAATAGCTCAGAGGTGCGTTTAAATAAAATCCTTATCAAGAAGCTTTTTAAAATTAAAAGGGATTTAATTTTTAGACAAAATCTTGTCTTACAAATTCCCAAGCCCACATTTTCTAGGATGAACTTTTAATTCCTTACCGTGTATGAACGGAATTAAAAGTCTGAATCGGGAGTTTCCTTCCATCAAGTACTAAGGGTTGACACACGCGGCGTATGAGCAACAGAACGGAAACGGGACCGGCAATGGGCGTGTCTGGAACATGTCTGGCAAATGCTTGAGGGGACGCCTTTGTGTTCCAAGCCGGATTCGTAGTAGGAGTCATACAGTCTCCGTCTACGTCTCCGTCTCCGACTCCGAGTCCAATGAAGGTTACAATTACAAGAGCTTGATAATTCCTCCCTTTCAGTGTTTGCTGCTGTCAGCAGAGTGCACTGCCTTCACGAGGGGCGGAAATGGACAGAGAGGTGGCTCTTCCCCTTTGGACAAATGGAAAGGGAGCCGCACTTAAGCTTGGCTCGAAAAGAAATAAAATCATTTGCCATAAATAAGAAAAATGCGCAGACCTGATAAAAAATGTGAAACGCTCAAATAAATAACTTGAACTTTTTCCTGCTGCTTTTTTTCGATTTGCTTCGAAATTGGGTTCTGCGAGGGTAATCGGAATGGGAATTCGAATTCGGCATGTCCTTGGGGCTACCAAGGGGAACTGAATTGGTTAGCACTTTGCCAGCGGAATTGTTGCCATTTGTTAGGCGATTGGTTTTTACCCCAACCCCCTCCCAACCATCCATTCTGCAACGCTTTAAACTTTAAAGGCATAAATTAAAAGGACGAGGTCCGATTTCGTTTTCGATTTCAATTCCGGGTTCCCTGCTGACACAACAAACGTTCCCCGAAAATGCCGTCAGCTGTCCTGACCACTCCCAACACAGGAGAAATGAAGTAGGAAAATGAGGAAGGCTGGCAATAAAATGAGGGCACTTAGAATGCCCCACGCATTCCGGCAAAACTTTCCCTTCAAGATGCCGCCAAAATTTATTTCTACGCATTTCTTGCGGCCTGGCCAAAAGCTGTTGTAATATAAGTTTGGTGTTTTTTTTCGTTGAATTGCAGAAATATTTCTGGGCCATCCTGATGGACACTTTTATTGTAAATTGCACGAATGCCTCGCAGGGGAGATCGCTCATACAACATGTTGTACGACCAGACAAATGTTATTAAATAAACGTTCCGCCGTTTCATTGTTCTTCAAACTGCCCCTATATGTTTGACGGATGTTGGGGGATGATATGGTAGGTACATACTATAGGTATGGAAGGTGGTCTTCATTATTCAGGAAGGGTGATGAAACAGGGATGATTCCAGCTGCCATTGTTGGAAAAGGCAAATAAACCGGGAATCGTGCCTAATCGCACTTATTGATTTTTCTCGTATTTATACAAAGCGAACAAGAGGCACGAACCCCATCGGATCCCGTTGGGTGGGGGGAGGGGGGTAGTCAGCATGGTACAATGAACTAACTCGTACCTTAACGCCTCGATTCACACAATTTGAGTGCCATGTAGTCAACGTCGACGATAAAATGCAGTCGGTCCACCCCCATTCGCTGCCGCCTCTCGATTTTTGTGTTCCGGCCACGGTAGGTAGACATGTAACGAGTTTTCGGCCAGATGGATGGCCCAGTCCCAGTTTCATACCCCTCATCACCATCTCTCAGTCCCCTTCCCTCGATTCTATATGTACACCTGCCCTAACCTAACGTAAGCTCCCTCCGAACATCAGGCCATAAAACATGCCAAAGCCAAAGGCAAAGGGAGTAGCAGAGCCCGAGAACGGAGAAAACCCGAAAAATGTATTCGAAGCCTGCCCGTCTACATGATTTTTGTTCATGAAATTATTTCAACAACCTGCCCAGCTGAGTCCACTTTCCTCCGGGTTGGTTGTCTGCGCCGCGTTGTTAGAGGCTTAAATATTTACTGTATGCATAATTTCTACATTTTTTTGCTCCTGACTCTCCTCCTGCAGGCTCTTGATTAGCGCGGGTAGGAGGCAAAGGATCGTTTAGGTGCGAACCGCTTAAAGCCGCCTCCTCGAAAAAAAGGGTAAATGTTGTTACGTTTTACGTTTGCCACACACAAGAAAGAAAAAGGTAGCTGCCGGGTAAAATAAATTCCGTGCTAACAAACTCACCGGCTGTTCGTTGACAAACCACTGCAAATGCGAGGCCGGATGAGATTTTCCGGACGTGCAATTCAAATACAAGTATTCGCCGATTTGGTACTGATACTGCTGACCTCTTATGTGTGGTCCATCGCGTGGCAGAACTGAAATGAGAAGGGTGGCAGAGGGATAAAATATACATCAATTATGAATATAAGATTTGCATAAATAAATTGCGGGAGGGGATTAATGCCCGATATTATCCCTTCTGATGTTATCTTCCGCAGCTTTGAACTCCACTTTGCTGGCCATTCCCCCCATTCACATGGCCGAAAATGCTAGCCCCACAAACTGGTCACCAATAAATATTTGCTGCGGCTTTCGCCCCTTGGTCGAGTAATTTATTAACAATTTTTTTTTTGTATTGCTTTGCCCGGCAAATATTTACCCGGACACACACTCTGCGTTTTCGGAGGACTTTCCCCCTTTTTGCACAGACGATTTCAATGGGATATACAAATAAATATTTTTTCGCTGCTCAAATAGAACATAAAACACACAGATAAACCAACACTAACAGCAACAGCAAAAGCAACAACTGCAATTGCAAAGAGGATTTGGGGGCGAGCAGCGAGGAGCGAGTCTCCTGGATGTTCTGGGGGCTACACAAAATATGTTGTAAGCGGCCAGACTGCGGAAATATCCATTAAAATGGCATTTTAACTTATAAATCGCTGGCGTGGCCTCCCCTCTGCCACTGCCTCTGCCTTTGCCTCTGCCTCTGCCCCTTCCCCTCAGCGAAATCCCCTTTTAGCCAAGCCCCGACCGTTTTTATATATTCCCTTTTTGCCGCTGGCCATTTGGTTTTAAGTAAATAAAAATAGTAAAAGAGGAGAAAATGTGTATTTGGGTAGGTAGAGGGGGGTGGTAGGGATGAAGAGCAAAGTTTAGCGCGTGTGTAAAGCGTTAAAAAATGCAGAGACCCGGCTTGGATTACAAAAATATGCTGTTATGAAACTAAAGCTTATGAATGACTTTTTAAAAGCATTTCCGACCGCCCAGCCCGATAAAGAAACCCAAACAAACAACACCGCCGGTCGCATTAGTCGACCAAAAGCGAAAACCGGCAGAAGCTGCAAAAATGAACTCGATCCGAATCAGAATATATAGTATACATATATATATATAGTTTGTGTGGGTGGGATTGTGGCGGAAAATGGACCGCAGAAATGGTAAACAGTGCTACGCCAAGGCTTTTAAATATTCAATTTAAAACAGCTAAAGCTTTTACCAGTAATAATAGAATAATAGAGGGTAGCCGACATGAAGGTCACAGTGGCTGTGGCTTTTATATGGATTCCCCATTTCAATGTGAACTTTTTCATTAGTGTTTTTAATCTGAATTTCATTTCAGTGGCATATTAAAATCCTATTTGTCTTAGTTACTTAAACTATTTCCATTAAAATCTCGTACCAATTCCCATTTATTGAAAGTCGGAGAATCCTTAGCCGCTTATTGAAATTCCTGGCAGATTGAATCAAAAATCTGCTGAATACTATTCACATTTGGATGCCGTCTGTATCGGAATGCTACTGCTACTGCTGCTGTTGCTGGAGCAAATAAGCAAACAAGCTCCGCCTGTTTGATGCCAATAAGGACGAAAGATCCAGACTTAAAACCAGATCCCTCCTGCCCACCCCTCCGCATTTTGTCCTGTGTATTTGCACTCTCAATATTTGCCTGTAATTGATGTGAAATTTTTCGAGCAAACATTTGCTCGGTTGTGTGTGCCGCTTGCGGGGTTGCAACAAATATAATAAAACTTGGGCAGGCAAATGCGGAACGTGACTCTGAATAGATTGGAATTCGGAGTACTTACAGACAATGTCCATCCGCCCTTCGCCCTGCACCGATGAGAAGTTGGGTGCCTCGGCGGACACCTCGCAGCGATACAATCCGGTCGAGTTGAGTGTCAATCCGCGTAGCAAAACGCGACTCGCGTCCGAGAGTTCCTCCTGCAACGAGGGGAATGGATTCGGAAGAAAATTAGCATAGCCAAACATCAACAATAGGACAAATTGTATATTGTTCAGCGGGGAAAAAGACTCGGTAATTGAATTTTGGAAAAATATTATGGATTTTACAATTTGTTTATTGAAATTAAATCGTGGCAGAAAATATACTTTAATAAAGAGATGCTGAATCTCTCTTTCTCCATTTAAAAATAAATAAATAAAATATTAGAAAAATGTATCCAAGACACTTACAATGACTCGCACGCCGTCCACTCGGTAACTGGTCTTTGGCGGCCGGGCCTTTGGCACGTAGCGGTAGAACTCCTCGTTGTCCTTGTACCACTTGATGGCGTACAGAGCCTCCCCCTCCTCGTGCTGCTCCTCCTCTTCTTCCTCCTCCTCCTCATCGCGATCATTGCTATCGTCGAAACTGTCCGCCCGATCGAATTCGGGCATATAGGCCGCTGGTCCGCCATTATTGCCATTGCTATTGCTTACGGATACGGAGCCACTATGAGTACTAGCACCCACATGAGCGGCACCCAGATACCCGGAGGCTGCACTGCCCCGGTAAACACTGTGCCCGTAGGGTGACTTCTCCGGCGGAGCTGGCGGCTGCTGATGGTTCTGTTGACTCTGGTATTGCCGCATAGCAATGGGTTCACGTTGCCTGGGGCGCTGGCCATGCTGCCGTTGGTTTTGACGCATTCGGCTGCGGTACGAGCGTTCGTCCTCCAGCGTTTCACCATCTGGGTAGTGGAACTCTCCGCCGTGGGTCTGATGACCATGGGGGTGGTCCGAATGGCTCTGCAGACCCGTGACTGTGTGATGCGTCCGGTTCAGTTCGTACTGGCATTCCAGGAAGGCGGACTCGCCGCGCAGCTTGTAGGCGGGAATGGAGACCTTGATCATGCGCAGGCCTACAGCAAAGCCTGAGGAAAAGGTAATATTGGTTATTGTAGTTGGTATAGAAAAGGATTTCTTAAACAAACATTCTTAACTTATAGTTTGAATATTAAAAACTATAAACCTATTACAGAATTCCTTTGTCAGATTCCGGGGCAGCTTACTCAACAATAGTGTCACACCAATCAAGGGAAAATATTATAAAAAAATATGAAAATAATTTTCTCCGTTGCCAAAGATGAAAACGACAAATATTAAAATCATCGAGTCTCGGAAATCAATAAACTGGCAAGTCGCCCGGGGATATATAGAGCGTTATATTTGCATAAGAAAAGGGCGCAGGATGCGCGAAATGATAGCGAGAAGGCGGTGGAGGAGAGAGTTCAAACGACCCGCCGGGCATTCGCCAAGGATTACGCTAGTCGCAACAAGCCCAGAGAGGAAAATTAAAATATTTCCCGCATTTTGCGTGGCCGTCAAGACGAGTCAACTTCTTGTTGCCGATGACGACGCAAATTTTCCGCCTGCCAGCCTTCGTTGGCCAAGTATTTGCATAATTGATTTGTTCTCCCTGTCACTCGCCCCCTCTCTCTCTCTCTCTCTCTCTTTCTGAACTAGACCACTAGTCATCCTGGCCGGCTGCCAGGACAAACAATTATTGTTTTAATTAAAAAGGACCCACGGTTTCGATCGTCAATTGCTTATTTATGAGTAGCAATTCTGAAATATGCAGGCAGATGGAGGCCAGTGGAGGCGGTTAAATTGCGGCAGGTGGAGTCGACTCGCCATTGTTGTCCTGGTCGCTGGCTATCTGTTATACCGTGTCGGCCCGGCTCGTAAATATTAATAAATGAGTGCGTAATCGGGCTTAATCCTTTGTAAAATTACAGCACCACCCGGCCAGAGCCACAAATTATGAAGGGGCCAGCCGAAGGACAACGACGACCAACAGGATATTGGCCGTTTTGAACACTTCCTGGCTGTCATTCATTCAACACCATCACCACCACCACCGCTACCGCCACCACCAGCCAAAATAAATGCCCTGTTTAGCGGTTTATTTCGACGAAGCTGCTCAGCGAGCGTTAAATTAGAATCGCAGTCGTCATAAATATTTGAATATCTGGCCATTTCGAGCCGAGCTGTCGGCTAATTGGCCATTGGCACTGCCATTGGCAGCTGGCAAAAACTTTGCCAGCCGCTTAAAGACGTCAGCAATTGAATGGGATTAAGCAGATTGACAGTCTCTGATCTGGGACTTGGCGAACAAAACTTTTCGATTGCAGCTGCACAAGTTTTCCGGTCTCCCAGTTTGCTCCCACAGCTCCCAGGAAACTGATTGAATTGGCAGGAACCTAACGAGCGGGGAAGGGGAGTTCTAGCAGGGGAAGGATGTGGTTTGCGGATATACTCGAATGTTCGTCGAGTGCAGCAAACAACAATTTTGATTTGCCTAACTCGTATTTAATTACAGAATGAATTAGATGGCTTTTAATTTTAAGAATTTCGGGTAATTCCAGAATTTTGCATTTGCTGCCTGTTTTTGCAGGACTAATTACATTTGGCCATTAATTAGCGTTGGAATTTCAAGGACCTGGCGTGGGCTTTGCCAGAACCAGCGAACAGCACACGTTGTTTAATTGGCCAATTTTTATGACAGCGACTTTGATGGACGAGTCGAGGTGCGACCGCCCAGGGCCACGCCCACCTGCTGATGTCAGTCAGCCTTCCGGGGAAATGAGCTTAATGAAATTAAGCCGCTTGCCGAAAAAAAAGAACAAGAAAAAAACAAAGGCCAGGAGCCGACTGCAGATGCGATACAAAATATCAGAAACAAGCCAAGACAAAGCAGCCTGCGAACAGCCGGCAAACACATGTCATTCGGGCAACGCTACAAAGTCTCTTAATGTTAATTAAAAAACAGCAAAGTCCCAGCCGAACAACAACAACAACAGCAACCAGGCACAGTCAGGGCCCAAAAACGCCGGGCAGGATCGGATGGAAAGAAGCAAACAATGGGTGAAAGTTGCATGAGAGCTGATTAAAATTGCCTGCAGGGCGGTCTGGTTCCATAAGAATTTCTAGCCCCGGGAAATGGCAGCTTTTACTTCTCCTTGCCTGCATTGATAACAGCCAAGTCGAGACGAGTGACGAAAGCTTACATTCGAATCCGAAATTAAATTACAAGTTGATGTGCCCCAGAATGGGATTCCATTTCAATGAGTTTTGTGTGGAAAGGCACACACATACTCGTACAAGCTGTAAATATGCCACAAGCGGAGCATCTCAACATTGTCTAAATGCATCGCAGCGAAAGGAAGGGTCCTTGTTTCATAAAAAAGGGAATCACTAAGCAAGTGCACTAAGCTGGATTTTCAGTATTTTGTATTAGTATCTCAGAACAAAGTGGATTAATTTAAGAAATTTATTTAGTCTTTTTATCAGTTAAATCTTTTAGCTTGTACAATTTCCTATTGAGTTTCTTTTATTTACACTTCCTTTGTCCAAAGATATTTTCTAAAACTTTTAAAATTGAAATTTTAGTAGGCAATTTACACTCCCCAACCACTGTGGCCCGAGGCTCTGACAACAAAGGCTCGCTGCTAAAGAGCAAAAGTTCCAACTGTCTGCCTATCAGCTCGCCTGTCTCAAACTCTTAGCTCGTAGCTCGCAGCTCCCCAGCTCCACTTGACTATCGCTTGCTCTCCGCCGACCGAAACTTGCTAAAATAAAGTTCCATATTTAAATTAGTATGTAAAGTATCCGCAAAGCAACGCGGCGCACTTGATGTAAATTGAATATGCATAAGCTGGAGTGTTGGCTGGGCGGAAAGGAGCGGGGATATCATTCAGTATGCATGATAATTTCGTTCATTAACGCATATTTAAACAGGACAAGCCCCCCACTCAACTGGGTGGCCTCTTGGGCTGCCTCCCAGTTCACCTGCAGGTTAAATAAGTCCTCCGGTTCTCGGTTCTCCCCGAACTTTTCTGGTGTTTAGCATAATTCGATAAAATTGGCAAACAGAACGAAAAGAGAGAGAAGGGTGAGCAGGGAAACGAACCGAACCGAAGGACAGGAAAGTCGAAAGACAAACAAAGGAGGAGAGCTAGCACCTCCGGAAAATGAGGAAGGGTGGCGGCTGCCCAAGGTAAACTGACCCACAGTGCGTTGCCAAATAGCGCATAATGAAGGCCGCCATTAGGAGATAAAGCTGGCAACAAAAATCGGTTGTAGCAGCTTAGTTGCTATCAATGATGGCCAAATCGGGGGGAATGGGATCCCTTAACTTTATACCACTAATGAGTTTGCGCCTTTGCAGCAATTATGCGGCCCGTTCAACGGAGGCCAGCCTCCGAAACTTTGCTATCTGGTAAATCATTTTGCTTCAAAATGTTGCTCTGAACCTGGGCGGCCGGTAGGTTTCTCGGTGCCAAAAAAGTTTGCCGAAAAGTGTCAAAAAACTGGAAGACACAACAAGGATGGGCGGCTGCCATTGATAGTGGGATGCCAGCCAAGTTGGTATGGCTGGCTCATTAAGGCCGTATTTCTTATTTGCGGCGTCTAGACTTCATTAAAAAAATAAGAAAAAACTCTGACGTTCGCTTTTGCTTCGCACATTTTGCTTCTCGTTTTGTTTTTCTGCAACTTGCCGCGGCTTGATGAATATTTATTGTGGCATTGACAGCTTAAACTCCGCTTAATGTTGTTCATTAAATGCGTTTAAAAAACAATTACTGCGGCCACGAATCGCTGGTGGGCGGTTGATGCGGCGGGGTGTTGGCCGAGGAACGCTTGGCCTTGTGCTAAATACGCAAACAATTATATTAAAAAAACAGCGAGAGAGCGAAATGCAAACGGGGGCGAAACAAAAACAGAGAAATAAAAAAAAATGGACCTAGACGAAATTGTAATGAAAAAGCCTTTGGGATAGTTTTAGTTTAGTTTGCGCAGTAACCGAGCTACAACAAAGGCTATCCTTGCAGCGGGCAAGCCAGAACAATGCGGCGAAAAAAAGTATGCAACAGTTTTTGAGAGAATAGGCGAAAGTACTCATACGCCCCGTTGCCGCTGCGCGATTGCGTGTGCATTTTTTTGTTGTCGCTGTTTGCAGCCACCACAAGCGACAAAAACAACAACAACAACACAAAAAAAACAGAAACAGCATGCAAATCTGTTCAAGCGCTTCTGATGTATTCAAGTTGACACAAATCTGGCGCAAATCCTCGCACACACACACACACACACAGCCACACAAAATGGCCACTCCACCCTAAGCGACACTGACAAGGCGAACTAACACACACACACACATGTTACATGTAATGGTGAGACAGGCAACAAAACATTTATGAATAAAATAGAAACAACACGAGCAACAGCGACAGCAACTGACGAGCGAGAAACGAGCAAATTAAAATCAAAATAACCGCAGGTGATGAGCAAACGGGCAGGGTAAAAGGCGGAAAAGGGGGCAAGGAAAAGAGGAATGGGAAATGGAAAAGGAGAGATCCAGGACGGGGGGAAACAGTTGCTGCTGAGCTGGTGTGTAATTGAAAAGTGGAATAACAATGGAGGCAAGGCAATGGCAAAGGCAATGGCGCAACATGTAAACTGTCACCGTCCCACATGGCGTATTCGCAATATTTGATCACATGGCCATGTCTCATTTGTGACCACTTAAAGTTGAACGAAATGCAAGGAATATTGTGCTAGGAAGCTGCCGCAAGACGAGTGCCTCACGTTCCACAAACAATTTGCCAAAGTTTTCCCCTTATTATTTCCGCTGTGCGAGACGCGAGCTTGCCCTTCGAAAATCGATTGCCGTGTTTTGCACACTTAGGTGCGATTACATATTTGCAAAATGAAATGGAATTTATTCGAGGGGGAGAAGGTGTATAGCGGTGTAACACCCCCCGCTGACACCGCTCCATTCGTACGTCATTGGCGTTTAATACGTTTGAGTGATTTCCCCGGGGGGTGAACATCATGCAGCTGGCAGCTGCAGGAACCAGAAAAGCAGGAAAACTGCAGAGCCCAAGAACTGCGTCTGTCAAGTCACGTTCGTGCGGCTGCTTCTGACGGATGCATATGCGAATGCGAATGAATATGGAAATGGAGCCAACTTTCGGCCAACAGAACGCAAATTGACAGCTCACTTGGTGGGATGGCTGCTGGAAAACCTGTAAGCACACACATACACACATTAAGCCCTGGGAAATTCTATTAAAAAAAATTATCATGTTTATTTAAAATAAAGCGAAAATTGCCGGGCCACCCAGGGTTTTTTGGGGCTGTGGGTCGGCTGCCCCTCTCATTTGTATGCGCTCCGCATGCGGCACACAAGAAAAATAACTGAAATAAGTGAAACGAGCGGGTCGTCAGCGGGGATTCAAGTGGGTGGGAATGGATGGGAATGGGTGGAATGTATGTTGGGGATTAGTGGGCGGCGGCGGTTGGTTATGCCCTTTTTCGGGCTACCGACACGCACACAGAGTTACATATGTGCGTTTGGGTGTTAAAACGCCACAAGTGACTTTGTCGAGCAGTTACAATTTGCTTTTTATTGACTGGCAAGGTGTCGACACGCGCAGGCATTGAACTGGAAATGCTTGGGAAAATTCAACCACCCACTCAGGCCCCCCTCGAATGGCATTGAACACTTTTGCACTCACCTTGCAGCAAACAGCAAATGAACACAATGAGTCGTGTATCGTTTGTGTATTTCATGTTTATCGCATAATATGTAATCCTTGGCGAAACAATAACAGTGCCTGGTTGGATGATGACGATAATGATGATGATGATGTTGATGATGCCGTTGGTTTTCCTCAAAAGAATGGAAATCCGTTGCCGTTGGAAAAGTTTTCTGCGTATTTCGGTTTTACTTGTGCTGATTTAAGCGTTTTTCCCCAGCGCTTTTCCCGTTTATTATTGCTTGATGGGACTTAGCTCGGTTTGTGTTTTCTTTGCGTATTACTTTCAGAAACTTTTCGCATAAACTTCCAGCCTGTTGCCATTAATAGTTGGCTCGATCCGTTGGCCAGGGACAAGTGCTGCGGCAGTCTCATGTGTTCCGGCTGCAGCCAGCTCATTAAACTCGGTTTTGTCTCACTTGTGCAGCCTGCAAAAGAAAAGAGCACAATAAATGGGATTTAATAAAGTTTTGATGGCTCTGAGTAAAGGTAAAGTTATCCTAATTGTGAGCCCCTCAAGGAGACCTCAATTTCAGTGGAGGCCATCGCTGCCATTTCTCACATAAAGTTCTCTTCTCTCTCTCTCTCTCTCTGTTTTCAATTTGTCCTGGATTGTGGTTTATCATTTCTCATTAGGTCAGGGGACACAAACAAACAACTCAGCCTGGAGAATAATTCTCAATCAAATGACATTGTTTCGCTATCTGTTTCTCTTTTTGCCAAATGACAGTAACCTCAATTTGGCCATCAGCAAAATGATTTCGGTGACCGGAATCTAGAGACAATTTATTGATTGTGCCCATTGTTTCCTGGTTAGCAATGGAAATAGAAATGGAAACGGGAATGGGAATGGAAATGGGAACTCATTACATAACACTCCCATCAGCATTTGACTGTCATTTATTTTTGCCACAAGAGCTACACTTGCCATCGCGTCAGATATTCGCATGGAAATAGATTTTGCCCAGAACAAAACTTATAAATATACGTTACAAATCGAATCGTTGGCCGGCTAAAGGACGAAGGTTAATGCGTGGGCGTTGCGTGGGGGCGTGGGCGTTGACAGCTGTTGTGGCCAAAATGCCGCAGCTGAGGTCATAGGTCAGGTCGTGAGCGCCGCAAAGCTTTACAAAATCGAACGAAATTAAGAATTCATATGGAAAGCGAATCAGAGCTAAATAAAAAGGCACAACTTTCTGAAAAAACGCACACACAAAGCAAAAAGCATTAGCAGAAATGGATAAAATAATACATCGACTCAATGATGCCCTAGTCAAAAACCACAAAGCACAAAAAACGGCTTCTTAGGCCAACATTCGGCACTCAGCTAATGGACATTTGTCTAGCAAAAAAACAATGCTCAAGGACACGTGCCTTGGGCCTCACCATTCCTTCGAAGTGCTCATGAAATGCGCATAAATCAAGGAGGCCACCAGCTCGTCCTGTGGCTTTGCCACTGCCTGGCTCTTAATGAAAAATGAAGCTGAAATAATCATAAAAAAAAGATGGAAGGAAAACAACTTTCGGGTGGCAGCCGGCAGAGCGGAAATGTAAATGCCAAGTAAACTGTGACGCTCGTCGCGTCTTATTCTTTTCGCATTTGGCAACAGAAACTTTGCCCGGACCCGAAACCCGACACCATACAACCCGTATTCCAGACCCGGACTTTTTGTCCACACTCGGAGATGGATTTGTCTGTTGCGTTGCTTCATTATGCGCAGTGCCAGCAAAGTTTGTTCGCCTCCTTGTCCTCCTTGTCCTCCTCCCTTCATCTCCATTGGACTTTTGTTTTGCTTGGCCTGGCCCAAAGTGCTGCGCCTGCGATTATGCAGCAAAAACTTTCGGAACGCCGCCATTTTGCATTGCAAAGCGCGGGCAACTCAAATTGGGTTCCTCGAGAGCCATCCCGAACGGATGACAGACCAAGGCACTGGTTCCACACCAAAAAAATACCCCTTTCAATTTGATATTAAAAGATCAAACTGGGATTTAGTTCGGTTTGGGATTTCTCAGGCGTTTATCTCTTTGCTGATTGTTTTTCGAAACTTATCCCAAGACTGTTGGTTGAGAAGGAGCAGAACAACAATGAATTATATTATTTCGAAATATTTTTGAAGTATTTTAAACGATTTTCAAGTATTTCTCTCTGTGCGACTGATGAACCGTTGGCAGCCAGCAGTTTTGCGCTGCATTTTCCAGCTAAGTTGGCTAATTCTTAAGTTGCTTAAATATGTGCAAACATTGCGCGACAAATGTAATTCGTCTCCTGGCATTGTATCCTGCCCTGGTGGCCCCCCTAACCCCAGCATGCCCCCTCTCTCTCTCATCAGAGCCACTCATCTAGCTTCGCTGCCTTTGGGTTGGCAACTTTTCTAGTTGCGGTCCCATCATATTAGAATGCAGCTCCATTCTGTGCTGAACTTTTCGCCACTGCAGCTTCGCAGTTACTGTGTGTTTTCCCAGCTTTCCTTCCTCTGCCGTAGCCCGCAAACCTCCTTCTGTGATTTCCTTTTGTATTTTTTGTGTCTATCGGAGGAGTGTGTTTGTTATTGTTGTCGCTCTTGTTGACTGCAGAAGTTATTAAAGCTGCAGCCGCACTTTATTATTGTGAAACAAAACCCAAAACAACAACAACAACAACAACACCAAGAAGCTGAGTTGCAAGTTTTCCTCCATATATATATGTGTGTGTGTATATCCTGGAAAACACAGATACTCACGCATACATAAGCGAGAACTGGCATTGTTTATCTTTCACATTGTTGGCACAACTTTTGTAGAGAATTTCGAGAAGCTCTAGTGTATGTGTGTGTGGTGGCATGTGTACACATGTGTGTGTGTATCTGTGAGTAGCCGGGATATCATTTGTATTATGGTAATTTAATATGCATTAGCCAATGTCGGGAACCCGGGCCCCAAATCGATTATTTTAGCAATTATTATAATTTCGAAACGGCGATGGGCTGGCAAATTAAATTTGTTCCTCCGACCAGATTTTCATTTCCCCATGTGCATACATGTATGGGCAAAATGTAGCCACAAGTGACCTAATAATGTCAGGGGGGGTGGTACGAGGGGTCACATTCGAATTGAAAGGCTAACCCCCTCCCCACCCTCGGTTCGTTTTGTCGATGTCAGAATGTCAACCAGCTATTTACATCTCTGTACACATGTTTGTGCCCATATGTGCATTGTGTCTGTAATAGTATTGATTTTTCATTTGACACATGGGTCGCACTTATCACTGCACACACATCTAAGTAGGTATATGCATAGATATATATGTATATATATGGCTGGGTGTACAGGTCAGGTGAGTGTTGGTTTTGGACGGACGGCTAAAGTTACATTACCAAAAATCGCATTAAAATTCAACAGGCTAAATTATTGTTGGCACAAAGTCAAAATGTTTGACACTTAATCCAATTTAAAATACATTTTGCATTAGCGCTGGAAGCCAAATCCAGAGTGGCTAACTTGGGCATGGCAGTTAATTAGGTATGAGCTGAGTGGTAGAGCTGGCATTACAGAGAGAACCTCAGAGGGTTTTATCTAGCGGGGAATTTAATTAGTAGCTTCTGGAATTAAAGTGTTTTGCTCTTAATGCGATGTATAAATTGTTATTTAGAGCAAACGAATGTTAAAATAATAATAAGTTAAGGTAATATGTGACAACACCCATAACTTCTTACTGAATATGTTGAAGGATTCTAAATTCGAATTCTACATTTCATCATATTTAAAGTACAAATTGCATTGCCTAATCTGTAAGAACTCTTACTATGATACCTATCTTCCTACAGGGTACTTAAAGAGCTTTGCTTTTGCCAGTCACTAAATAACAATCTGTGCGGATAAACTAAATCAAGCGAGGCACCTCCCCGAGGACACTTCAGCATCGGTCTTCTTTTTGAAAAATATATTAAATGCCATCCCGTGCCATAAATTCATGTGGCTTTTCTGTGGCTAAGCGTGTGGCAAGGATAAACACACTCAAACACACAGAGGCACTCGAAAAATCCCAGGCCGCTTGACAGATTAGGTCCTAGGATATCGATGACAATTGATGGCAGTAGATTTTATTTTACCAACTTCGTTTGGAATTTGTTCCGATCAAACGGAGAGTGAGTCGTAAAAATGTTTCATAAAGTGCAGCTGCCAAAAGCTAAAAAAATAACTCAAATAAATAAGCTGCGCATGATTGACAATGCAAATTCATTGGGGGAAATGTTTGCCGATGTTGTAAATTTTATTTTCCTTCCCTGCCCCCTCGAAACCGAATACAGCTGGCAGCCCCTGGCGAGTGTTTTCTTTGATGGCCTTTTCATTGAGTGCTCAACTAATAAAGTTTCGCATATGTGGACAAATATCACGTGCTGGGAATAAAATGAGTTTATGAGCGAATACAAAAAGATGGAATGCCACTGCCAACGCATGCGGGGCATGTTGAGGGCAACTAAAAAGTGTTTATGGTTCCCTCTTTTTTATGGTTCTCCAGTTTCCCGAGTTTCCCGAGCCGCAGGCTCAAACTATTATAAATAAATTATCATTTGCCTAAGCCGGCACGAAGACACGTTTGATGGGGCACATTATTTTTTCTTCTCTGTTTTATTTTTTTTTTTTTGGGGCACCACCGCACTTGCATGTTAATTTCGGCTTTAAGTTGGGGCTTAAATGAAATCAACATCGCTGGGAAAACACCGTGAAAAATGGCCATAAAGGAAGTCAAAGCGGGAAACAAAGGCCGGAACAGAGGACATTCATTGACATAAAACTTAAATTTTTAATGCCAGACCTGCTGAACCGCCCTTCCCGGCCTTCACCCTACTCAACCTCCCTGGCAACGCGCTCAATGTGTGTCGTTTCAGGTGCAAGACACATAAAAAATAAATGAGCACAGTACAAGAAAAGCGGCGAGAAAGGAAAGCCAAACAAAAATACAAAGCTGCACGGCGTGGAAAATAAGTGGAAAGCCACCGCGTGCCACAATTGTGCGGGTAAGGGATAAAGTCGGTAGGCGGCAGCGGCACAAAAGGGGCGGCCACATTCACGATTTCCACATTTTGTCACCCAGCCGCGTAACTCGCGACAATTTTTTATGGCAAACAAATTTTGTTTTTGTTTCTCGCGGCGCCACAAACAGAAATCGAGCCGCAGCCCAACAAGGCAAGCCAAGAGGGCCAAAAAGCTTTGGGATTCTCGGCGGAAAAGGAAATGAAAAAGTACTTAATATTTCACAAAAGCAGAGTGAAAGTCAATTTACAGAGTGAACCCAAAGCGAGTGGAATATGACAGTCTAATGGAAATTGAAAGGGCGAATATTTAAGGAATAACCAGCAAACGGAATTCAAATTCAATGGAATTCCCCAAAAGGGGCTTGCGGGTTACCCAGGCCGAGTGCCAAGTTCCGAATAAGCCAAAATCTCATCGGGCCTCTTCTATAAATAGTTGCACGTTTTGGTTAGACCAACTCCTTTATGTGCACTATGAGAAATTATAATAAAAGTCAATTAAGTAAAATTAATTATTAAATATGTAAATCAAGAAAGGTGAAGACAAGGGTTTTAGAGTTGGGAAAATCAATGAAAACAAATCACAAAAACTGGTAGTATTATTTTCAATCTTTTATTTTATTCATTTATTAATAATATAAAGTTAACGAATAGTTTTTCTCTTCTCACAGTGCACACATTCCTCGCCAACTAGTAATTCGTGCATTGCCAAGGCAACATTGTGGCTACAGCCTCCGAGCAGCTCAAGGCCCAAGGAATGGTAACCGCAGCCCGACGCGAACCAAAACCCACGCCCGATCCTTAAATGCCCATGCCTCCAAGTTGAGTGGCTTCCAACCACCTGCCTACCAGCCACCCTATAATATTCCACACCAGAGCACCGGGAGTACCCACAAATGCTGGCGCGTGAGCCGTGAGAGAAGTCAAAAAATTAAACGTTGTACGCAAGATTTGTTGGCTGCGAATGTGGGACCCAAGAGGTCTTGGCATTAACCTGCAGGCTCCCGGGCACCGGTGCGTATGAGTGATACGCACAAGGACATCGCTGTCTGCGCAAAGCGAAAAATAAATGTTACATGTGAAGCGAATGAACTCCAAATTGATTGGGACCTTCTGACTGGCGTGCGTGTGAGTGTGTGCCTTGGGTGGTATTATAAATATTGGAATAATTAAATTGCATTTTAATAAATTAAATGGGGGAGAGCATAAATATTTGAGGAGACAGAAGTGCGCACTGCCATCGGGATAACCTAATTATGAGAAAACCACTTAAGCTCCTTAATTGGACAAAGGCGAAAAGGGTCGGCAGTGACATGTGAAGGGCCGCAAATGAATGTGCTTAGTGGTGGGAGGGAGGGAGGGTTGAGATAGTTCCCTGGAAGTTACCTTGATTTAAATTTAAATGAAGTATCTTACGGTTGGGCACTCCCACTTACTGCTCCTCAGGCTTCCTATAATTGAGGTCTCACTTTAAATCCTGTTCTTTTCCTTGCCCGCTTCCTTTGAAGACGAGAAAGGAAAGAGCTGGTGCCGAGGAGCTGAAGCAGACCAATCCCTAATCCCAGGGACCATCCAACTCCCTCTCCACGGGGATACCGATTCGTATTGTTGACTGCGCCGGAAATTAAGCGCACCGGCAGGAGGAAGTCTGCCTTAATGTACTAAAGTGAAATAACGTGTATGCCATATCTTGGAACATGCGGATGGCAGTAAACACAGATACACAGATACATATACAAAGATACATAGATACAGATACAGATACCCAGATACCTAGCTACAGATACAGTTGCAAATGCAAATGTCGTTTGCCTGACACTGGCTAAAAAATAGAAAGAAAAAAAACGAAAATATCAACAAGTCCCATGCAAATTTTACCTGACTTTTAGCTTAGCCTGTACCGAGATTTGTTTTCATTCGATCCAACTCCAGACATTGACATTTATTCAAACTACACAGCTCTGCCTGAATTTTCCATTTCGGGAAAATCGACGTCAGTTTCTGCTGCGATTTCGCTTATGATAACAATTTGGCCGGAGGGGAAAACTTTCGGGCCGCCGCCGCGATGCCAATCATATGAGAGAAGGCAATGCCAGCATAATTTTTTCTGCTCGACGATAAAAACTTTCTCCGGCGAGAGAGAGCGGAAAATAGTAAAAAAAAGAAAGAAAAATGTGGAACGCAGAGGGGGAGCGGTAGAAAAGCAAATATGAAGCTCGGAAAAACTGTTTGGCGAAAAAAAGGCGACATATAATTGGAAAACTTTCGGGAAAAGGCGATGGCGACAAGGCAAAGTGTGAAGAAATATTTAAGTTCGTTCAAGTGGCGTGAACAAAATTGAAAAAAAATGCACACAAAAAACCTCGAGAAATGTGGAAATAGAGGAAAATAAGGTCAGTTGTGGTGTCGATGGGGGTAGTTACTTAACTATTTATGGAATTATTGAAATGTCGATTACCTTTCCCCGTCCCAATCAATACAACAATCGAAAGGGCAACACCAGCTAAAGGCACCCCGAGAAAAAAGGGTAAAAATACATTAAATAAAGCGAGGGCAGGCGGGCGGGCACACAGATTGATAAATATCGCCAAATGCATAATTTAATTGACTTTTATGGGCGCCCCGGCCGAAAGCCCCACAATTTACACCATTGTTTGTTTTTGCATATAATTTCAATTGAATTTTAATTGAAATTATGACGACGACTCCTGGCTCCACTGAGCCAGACTCAACTGGGCCGCACTGAGCCATTGTTTTCCTAACCGTAGTGCTTTGTTTGCGCTTCCCGGCAATAATTTCAGTTGTGGTAATAGGGTGGTCGAGTGGGTGTGTTCGGGTGAGGGTGGTGTGCCTACAATGGCAACCATTTAGCATATTAGAATATGCATTGTTTGCGCCCAACTCCGGTACACGCAATGGCCGACCACCCAAGGGGCCACTGTGCCAAGGGGTCGGGCCCTGAGCCCTGTTCAGGGCCTGGCCAGGATGCTTACTAATAGCCATCACTTAAATTTCGGCACAGTAACAAAAGTTCAGGCATTCCAAGAGCTTTAAGTTTGCTTGTTTTACTGATAGTTTGAAAGGTTATTAAAAATTAATCACTTTTTAAGTTTCTTATTTTCATATAAGCCAGAATACTTTAAAAAGCTTTTAAAGGAGAGCAGGAAATATCAAGGAGAAATCTATAACAAGACAATTCTAGGTTTTATAGCAGCCAATAGATATACTAATCAGCTTCAATCGATATGATTTAAATGATGTAATTTATGTGCTAACTACTACCTAAATCTTTCTCTCTGTGCTAGGGTAATACCGAAAATGAGTAGAAATATTTCAGCAATTTAAAGAGCCACAGCCTCATTGTTCCACATTTGTTTTTATTAGAGTTTTCATCCCCCCAGCTACCAGGTGTAGTTTTTCTTGTTCCTGTCGTTTCTGCTTCGTAAGTAAAGAAAACAAATAAATAAATTTTCTGCCCTGCAAAGGACATTCACTCATACACACAGCCAACTGTATGTGAGGTTGCCTTTCATAAATTTGATATGTATGCGAATTCCTTTTGGTTTTGTGGTTGGGGCTTTGTTTTTTTGTCAAGCGAAAACCATTTCCTTGGACTCACATGTTGCCACCAGGCTTCATCAGCATTTGCAATTATTTTATGCTTCGCATTTGCCAGTTGCCATTTCGTCTTTAATTAGATTTCCTGCCCAGCCCACAGAAACAGATTTGCACTTGCCTTTGATGGGGTTTTCATACTCTGATGGCCTTGCGTGCCTTGCGTTTGTCTTGCTGGCTGATAATTCCACTTAGGCGAACAAGGGCCTGGCCGAAAAAAACACTTTAAGCCCTCTTCGGTTGGCTCACAAGCATTTGGCGCTCGGTGTCATACTGCGACATGCACTCGGGGGCCACGAAAACATGCAATTTGCAATGGCCATTTGCGCGACGACCATCAGTCAGTGAGGCGCCCGGAACTTTAATTGCCCGCACACGTATTCAGGAGGTTGTTAGAGGTTGCAGGTTGGACGTTGCACGAAAAAACACGGAGGAAAACATGGAAAAATCGCACTCGCCACTAAATGGGTTTTCGCGCGCCTTCTTCGGTCCTTTTCAGTCTTGGCCAAAAGTCTGACACACGAACTTCGACCTTAGATTCCGAATGGCACTCGATATGATTTGTATTCTCGGCAACGACGACCGCTAAACACGTCCTTTCGCCAGCACGTAACGATTTCAACTGAATGTCTGAGGACAGGAGCAGCTCGATTTGTTTATGAATCCTCGGGTGTTCTTCGTGCGGAGTCCTCGCAGTTGAATGGACTGGGCCACAGAGAGAGAGAGCTTTTAGTCCACTGAAGCGGAGTTGGCGAATATCGTAGGTTTAAGAGAAAGGTCGCTCTCTGCTTCCCACGCTCAAATTTAAAAGTAATAATATTCATGGTTTGATACAGCTTCATTCGTAAATTGTAATTGAAATTCTGAAAATTGTAATTTTACCCTTGACATTTAGGCTGAACTTTTTTAAATTAAATCGTCACTTTTTCAGAGTTTTGATAAAGTTTTAAGAGCAATTCGAACTGCATTTTCACTGAGCTAGCAATTTGTTAAGTTAGGTTTACATTTGTCATATAATATTTTCCAAAGTTTTAACAATTTAGACATTTTTTTGTAAGGTAACAAATGCCAAGCAGATATAATTATCATTCTAGTTATATTTTCTAACAACTTCTAAGCCAGAAGCATTGTCTGGCTTGTCAGGCTCTGTGGCTTTCGAAAAAATCATTATTTGAAAATCAAAATTTTGGAAACATCAGTTCCCCAATGCCACTGGTTGTCCAGACCTGGTACTAACCATTTATCCGGCTCACTCCACCGATGTCCAAATTGAACTGAGTACGCCTTTACCCAAGTAGCAGTCGTCGTATCCGTATGCCGGAATCCCATCCAGAAAACATAACCGAAAGCCATTCCCAGCAGTCGAATAGACAGCCCAAAGACACTCCCACTACCAGCCAGTAGGTTCGTATGTATGTATGCGGTTCGGTTGGCCAACCGCAAAATTCTTGCCAAACAAAATAAAGAAAACAAGAGGAGAACTAACTTGGGCCAAAGCAAAGCAGAGCCAAGCGGTAACGGAAATTGTTAACCTTTGGGGATATCAAACATTTACGATTGCGTGGCAGCGGCAGCAACATTTAAGTTTTTATCAGCACAAAATAAAGTTTTGGTTTACGGATTGTATTCCTGTTCTCCGCTGCCCTCACCCTCAACCATTTATTTGGCCGAAGGCAGCCACAAGTGCCCAGGAGCCAGGAACAAGAGGAGCAGGAGTAGTAGCTGGATCAGCGGCTGAAGGCTCGTCCCTGTTGATTCCAGGGCACGCAGAACTTTTATCCTTTTCAATTTCGTTTTTCTTGGCGAGTACTTTTGAGGGATTTAAATTTCTGCTTGCTGCCGGGGCAACAAAGAAACAACCGTGGGATCGGCAACATCGACTTGCTGGCGACCAGGTGAGTGCTTCTTGTTGGCCTAATCACGGCTTTTCCGACTTGGCCGCAATCAAACTGCAGGCCAATGCGATTGTGGCGGCCGATTTGACTTGCGATTTTGGTTGAAGTAAACATAGGGTTGTACACAGAAAATAAAAGGATGTTTTTTAAAAATATATTAAAATTTAATGACTAATTTTCCTTTTAGAATTTAAACAAAATCTTTCCTTTCAGCCGTCATGAAAGATAAGAAAAAAAGCCGCCGAGATTCCCTGCCAAATCTTGATCAACCTGGACCATCGAACGTTGTCAACCCCGAGGACAGCCAATCCAATAAGGAAAACAAGTCCCTTGTCGTAGAGGATCAGGGTGTACCCTTTATATTGGTGGATTGCTCGACCTATACAGTTCGCTCCGATCTGGAGTCAGCTCTTAGCCAAGTGGAGAAGGTAAGGATGGAGAAGGTACAGAGAGATATAGATGAACTCCAGTTGCCTCAGCTGGAGGATGTAACCCCACCGCCAGAATTGGATATGCCGATTAACTTAGGTGCCAAGGCAATGGCTAAAATGAAATATGAAGAAGATGAGCGACGCTTTAAGGAAGATCTGCAAAATCTTAAAATTTCTGTGCCGGAGCGAGACCCCTTTTCTTTTGGAGATTTGACCAAATTCGAAATGAGACAAAGTGAGAATAAACTGCTTCAGCAGACCGCCACAAATCTTGAGCAGATTCGCTGCAAGCTGGAGCATTTGAAGAGCTTGCAGGATGGGATGACGGCGCCAAAGGTCACAGTCACACCTTTAATGCCTGAACGTCCAGTCATTCGCCGTGAGGGCACCTTTGACGTAAAGCGTGAAGATGACCCAAACGGAGAGATTACCGAAGCCCTAGCACCTAATCCAACGATAAATCTTCTAAGTGAAAGACGGAAGCCTATTCCGGATACTAAGCAGATTATCAACCAGATTGGCGATCTCCTAATGAAACTTCAGCTCCAGCAAAATGACAGTAAGTCTCTGGATGAGGGATCTTTATATTCTTATATGGTGACCATTAAACCTGCTGGAGGAGTCTCAAATTGCTCCGTTCAACCAATTACAGATCTCAAGTCCCGCGAAGATAGGACAGCTGGCCAGGTTAATAATCTGAGATTTTCACAAGCTCCGTCGATCAACATTTTCTCTCCTGCCAATGGAGATGGAACTCGGCCTGGCGTGAGCTCAAATCTTATCGATGAGAGCTCCTTTCGTACGACTTCTCTTCCAGAGATCTCATCCACGCCGGTCAAATCTCCTTTTTTGGGCAAAAGGCCAGGATCTTTCCTGAAGGTTCCTACTCCAACCAGATTTTGTCATGGCAGAAAAAGGGATTAACTCAGGAGCAAGGCAAAGGATTTTAACAAAAAGATATTAAATTTAGTTGAATGACATTCAAGGCTGACAAAAAATATATATTTTTAATGATTAAGGGAAAGACTTTCTTTATGGGATGAGGCATAATCTAAAGGTATTGATATATTAGACATTAACCAGGGATTTATATGATTTTTTTATGTCAAAAGCAGTAAACAATTTGCAATTAAATAATTAATCCAATAATCCAATTATATTTGAAAAATTGTGACTTAAAATGTAAGCAAATCTACTGTGTATAAAGTCAAACTTCAATTTTGCCAGCTATAAAAGAACTCCAAATAATGATATCAAACCAGGCCAAGATCAAAACTTGGTTTTCGATAACATTTACCCCTTACAAAAAAATGAAATTTGACAAAAAATTAAATTTCTGAAAACCATCGCCATACCCACATAGAAAGTTTGTACGGGTCGTAGGCTGCACAAAACAATCCTCCTCATAGCTGTGCGTTTTATTTTAACAGAGTTATAAGCATTATACTGGTAAAAATATCGCTAATTTTACTAAAAAGTCACCATTTTTTATTTCCAGCCCAAAATTTCAGTATTTTCCTCATTACAAAGGCAAAACTGATCGCAACATGGAATTTTATGCATCGTTGAGTTCGTAATTAAATTCCCCGTCGAACTGTGTGCCACACTTTACAAGTGATTTTTATGAGATTTAACGTAAATTTTTATGATTATTTCCAAAAATGCGAAAATAAGTCTGTCCCCGATTTATGTCTCAAAATAATAGAATTTTCCTTATTACAAAGCCAAAAATGATCATATCATAGAATGTTATATCTCGTTGAGCTTGTATTTCAATCTATTTTCAAAATATTCAGCTGGCAATTAAATCTGAAGAAAAAAATATTTTTTAATTTTTTCGAAAAAATGATGATGGTACCCCTTACAAAAATGCAAAATTTGATAAAAAATAAATTTTCGAAAATCATCACCAAAATGAAACAGAAAGTTTGTTTCGGCCGTTAGCTGCACAAAACAGTCTTCCTTTTGGCTCTGCGTCTTCTTTTGGCAAAGTTAGAAGCATAACACTAGGGGAAAATATCGCGAATTTTACTAAATAGCCATCATTCTGATGTTCCGCCCGAAATATCAGTATCAGCATATAGACACATTAACCTACACTTTCCAATCAATATTTGTTTTTTCGTTACGCAGCTAAAGTAAACAAAAGTGGTTTCAATTGTTTATTTGCAATTTAAATTCTTTACAAAACGAACAATAATTATGGCGATGCTATCGCCGTTCACATTTCAATTTACATGGCCATGCAAATTTATTGTTTTGTAATTAAACCGATTTAATCACATTTAAGCGGCAACTGTCCTCCAAAACTTAACTCGTACACCTTTGTCTAGCGCTTCCTGGTGCATAAAACTTGCATCTTGGCCACTTCCTGAAGGAGTTGTCTAATTGCATGGCCACGCACTTTCATTGCTCATTTCCGAGTTGGCCTCGAGTGCGTGGTTGCAGCTCATTTTGTTCGGTTTGCGCAATTGTGGCCAAAGTGTTTTCAACTTTCCTCTGTCATTTTACCCGGAGGTCAACTCTGAAGCATCCTGCCACCCCCTACCTATCCTCCCCACGTTCGGGGTGGATTTGGTGAAATGTTGGCCAAGTGCTCGGCTTGGCTTGTGCCAGTTGGCAGACGTCCTGCTGCAGGACCTTAAAAAGCTAGGCCCTGCCGCCTCTTGTCATTTGTCGTTTGGGCCGAAATTGCAAGATTGACTGTTGGGCTGCAGTGAGGGAGAAAGTGGATGTGGGTTGGGTGAGGGGACAAAAGTTTTCATTAGTTTTAATTAAATCCCAAACAGCATTTCCATGCTGCACTCTGTATCTCTGGCACTCTCTGGTTGAGGCGTGTGTTCTTTCGAGGCTTTGTCAATGAGTTTGCCCAACAAAACCGAATTAAAAAACATCAAAATTAATGACACTTCGCCCCGGGGAGGCGGAATATTGTGGAGCTGGTCAAAAGGAAGTTGCCATGGTGCCTCCGCTGCCACTCGAAGTGCGGACAACATTTGTGCAATTTATTTAGCTGGCTTTTTGTGGCGCTTCTGGACGCGAGCATGTTGCTAAATAAATTTCATGATTTACTGCAGCCATACGGGAAGCGCGGACAAGAAATGCCCAGCAACAGCAACAACAACTTTGGCAAAAAAAAAAAAATGACAGTTGCCAGTGGCCACAATGTTTATATAGTTGTCGAGTGGGGCGTGGCACATCGGTGAGGGCGGGGGGCATTGGCGTTTGCCATGGGCCGTGGCAACATGAAATTTGCAATTAGATTTGGCGAAAAAGGCAGCCGCAACATCCGCCCGGCGTCCCAATTCCACTTGCCAGTAACCAGCAACTAGCAACTAGCAACCAACTTCGTTCCCGGGTCCAAGCGAAATATTTAATGCGGAAAGTTTAATCGCAATAGCTGCGGCAGCTGCAGCGGCGCATTTCCGGCATTTGTTGGTTTTTAGACAGCACTTCCCGCATTCAGAGAATCTGCAACTGCAGCACAGGACATGGACATAGCAGCGGCTCATGGTTGACATCATCAAATTTGATGCCCGCCCGGCATTTACTACCCACCTCCCCCTTCAGAGTCTTCGGGGATTTCAGGATGCCACGAGGCCTGGCTGTCAGGATGCCAGGATGCGGACGCACTTTCACTGCGGCTAGCCTTTGAGCGGACAAGAAATTAAATAAATTTTTGATTAGCCAGTTGGGTCCGCATCTGCACGAGTTGTGCCCGGGAACATATATATATATATATATATCTGAACTCCATACTCCACGTTTTTAGAATGGCGGAGATTTCTGTGGGATTTAGTTGCCTCTCAGGACTGTGGCTTTATTTTCTGGTGACCGCTTTGAAAGTGGGCTGATTAGTTTGGTAACTGCGGTTGTAGTAGGTCAAATCGGGATTACAGTAAAGGGAATGAGGTCATCGTTAAGGTCTAGTGAATCCTCTCAGACCATGTATCAAATAATTTTATGTAAGCTGTGCTTATTACGATGTAAACTTAAGTTTTTTTAAACCAGTTTTATGGTTAAATTTAACTTAAATCTAAAGACGAAAAACACGTAAGGAGTGATTATAAGAAAGTTGTCTTCTTTATCCAAAGATAATTGCTAATTTAATTTTAATTTGTAACTAAAGAAAGAGCAGCTCTGGCACTCCAGTTCAGCTGACGTGATAACCGGAACTGGTTTTACCCAATTTCAAGCATCGCTAATTGGCGCTCAGCTAATTTGGCACAAAAAAGAAAGCTCCCTTGGAGCGGGCGAAATGAAAGCCAAATAAATGTGCCACGCAATTAGAATGCACAACAATAATTACATAATAAATTCGCGAACGCAACTGCAGCAGCAGCAGCACCAGTGGCATGCAGTGTCTTCCGGCAGCAGCTGCCACAAAATGTAAATGGAAATAAGTGGCAGGACGACGACGTCGGGCGGGTACTTCTTTCTCATCCCACCCTGTTTTGGCGACCGCGTTTACAAATGCCTTCGACTAGTTGAGCACTTGATCAGCGAGTGTCGGAAGGGTGAGCGGATGAGCGGGCGGTTGGGCGCCTGGGCGCTTCCTTCATCCATTTTAGTTTTACTCCTCGTGTGTGGGCGACGGCGAGATTAATAAAATTTATTATCATTGCGATAGTGGCAAAACAAACTGAACGCCCGCCCCTCACATCCCCCGAAGTATTTATGTGCCTGGTGCTAAAACCAGCTGGGAGAACATATCAAAATGAAGTAAAATTCATTTTACAACATTCAGACTGAGCGAGCAGTGGGAAAACTGTGGGCTCTCGAATGCAAACCGAAATTGCAAATGCGCTTCTGGGCTGCCATCGAGCTGAGGGCTCAGTGTTCAGTGCTCAGTGTGCTGAGAGCTCTGTGCCAGGGAGATCCTTCTCCGCCTCCGCTATTCTCCTCCAAATAGAGGACCGCCGCAGGAGCTGGAGCAGGAGCAAAACGGAAGTTCGACGCCCAAGTGGCAGTCGCGATAATAGCGCCCTGCCATGTGCGCTAAAGTATTAGCATATATGTATGTACGTATGTCCGTACACACTAACACACCCAAGCCGAGAGCTAGAAGAAAAACTTTTGACTGCAGCGGCGCTATCAGGAGACACATAAATATGAAAACGCAAGCGGGGCTTGAGAAATGCACTCGCCGAAAGCAGTGCCATGGCCATAAATATACCACAAACATATTTATATTTATTGTTAGCCAAATAAAATGTTTCTACTTACTAGTGGGTAGCGAGTATATGTGCTTCGGCTAGACTCGTAAATAAATTAAGATTTAAATAGGTCAAATTTATTGTTAAATGGCTTCTTACACTTGGCTAAAAGCACAATTTATAAGAAGATTTATGGACATTTATTGTCATAAATTAATTAGTCTTTCTTAATGGGGAAAAATAATTAATAAATGATTGGATAAAGAAAACATGTTATAAATATTAAAATTAGTACTAACATCAATTGTCTTAGTGACGTTATAAAATTTTATTAATTTTGGAAATTTATGATTATTATTTTTGATTTAAGGTGTTTTTTTTACAGATCTTTAAATCTATTTAAGATTTTTATTATACATGAGCCAATTAGGTTTTCTTTTCTTTACTTTAATCATTAGTTTTATATTAGTTTTACTTTTAATATTTAGTCTTGGTAATTCTTTCAGTGCCTTTTGCAGGGGCACCCTGGCTAGTGGCGACTTCCTAGGCAGATATATGGAGTGTAAAAGTGTCATTGCCACGCCCAGCGGCCATTACCCACCACCCACTGCCCGCTGGCTATGGAACTGCAACAGAGTGGAATTTGAATATTATTGTCACCCACACACAAACACACACACACAACGCACAACCAACTAAACACACACACCGCCACATCGACACCCACTGGGCCTTAGAGCAGGCCCTGGCACGAACACAGGTTTACTTGGACAGACCTCGACCTGGAGACCAGAAAAGAGATAGAAGGCAGGAGCAGAACGAGAACCCGAACCCAGTATTTAATACTGTTTGCGGAAAATA